AATAATAATAATAATAATAATAATAATAATAATAATAATAATAATAATAATAACAGTTAAGTAAAACATAACTGCGAAGCCATCTCCTTTTTTTTACCCATACTTTTAATGTGCCCTGTAGGTGGTACAATGCACTCTGGCCATTTCCTGATTTATTCCATTTCCTCATTGGGTTCTGCCTTGTCTGTCATTAAAGTCCTGTTCTGATCTTCGTGAGATGTTCCTTCTGCCCTCTCGCTCGGACTGAGGGCGCTGCAAATGGAATCCCACGCCTCCTCCAAGTCTTTCTGCCGCTGCTCGCATGCTTCTTTCTCTGCCAAGGGGTTCCCCTCCAACCAGGAGGTGGTGCTCTCACACATCTCCAGCATCCTCCTCTTGGCCTGGACGTCCAAGATCTGCTCTTCTGCCACCCTTTTCAGCTCAAGGGTACAAGACTCCAAGGAATTCATGGCTTCAATCTTCTCCTGCTGGGACATGTCATTCACTCTGAACTCCTCAGCCGTCTGCACTATCCTTTCAATCTCCTCTTTGCCTAGACGGCCACGGGTGTCTGAAATGGTAAGATGGCTGGTGTTTCCTGTCTCCACGTCCCTGGCTGAGACAGTCAGGATATTGTTTTCATCAATGGAAAATGTGACTACTATGACAGGGACCCCACAGGGTGCTGGTGGTATGCCTTTCAAGGTGAACGTGCCCAGGAGATGGTTATGTTTGGTCAACGCTCTCTCCCCTTCGTAGACCATGAACAAGATGGTGTCTTGATCATCTTCTGTGGTAGTAAACTCCATCGTTTCCTTGGTGGGAACAGGCGAGTTGCGCTTGATGATTGTCGCCATGACTCCACCTTGTGTATTGATCCCCAAAGACAAAGGAGTCACATCCAGCAGGAACACATTCTGCATCTTTGGGGTCCGGTTCCCCGTTAAGATAGCAGCCTGAATAGCTGCACCGCAGGCCACTGCTTCATCGGGGTTGATGCCTTTACACAACTCCTTCCCACTGAAGAAATCTCTCAACAATTTCTGGATCTTGGGAATGCGGGTAGAGCCCCCAACCAACACAATATCCGTGATCGCACCTTTACTCATCTGGGCGTCTTTCAGTGCCCTTTCCAAGGGCTTCAGTGTAGCTCGGAAGAGGTCAGAGCAGAGATCTTCGAAGCGCGCTCTCGTGATGGTCGTGTGGAAATCTATCCCGTGGCAGAGGGAGTCAACAGAGATGCTGGCACTGGTGCAAGAGCTCAAGGTACACTTGGCGCGTTCAGCCGCAATCTTCAACCGCTGCAGGGCCTTCTTGTCCAGACGAAGATCCTTCTTGTGCTTTCTCTTGAACTCATCAGCAAGGTAATCCACTAGCCTTTTGTTGAAATCCTCCCCACCCAAATGAGTGTCTCCTGCAGTCGCTTTCACTTCAAAGATACCGTCTTCGACAGCAAGGATGGAAACATCAAAGGTGCCTCCACCCAGGTCAAAAATGAGGATGTTTCGAGGACCAGCCTCCTGATTCTTCACATCCAGGCTGTAGGCGATGGCTGCTGCGGTTGGTTCATTGAGGATTTTGAGGATCTGGAGGCCTGCGATGGCTCCTGCATCTATGGTGGCCTGGCGCTGGGCATCGTTGAAGTAGGCAGGCACCGTGATGATGGCTTGGGAGATGGAACCTCCTAGGTAGGCCTCGGCAGTGTGTTTCATCTTGGCCAACACCATGGCAGAGATCTCTTCTGGGTAAAAGGTCCTTTGCTTGCCCTTGTGACACACCTGGATCTTGATCTTATTTTCGTGATTCACCACAGTGAAAGGCCAGTGCTTGATGTCCTCCTGGACAGTGGCATCTTCATATCTCCTGCCAATCAACCGCTTGGCATCGAACACTGTGTTTTGGGGGTTGAGAGAGGCCTGGCTCTTAGCTGGGTCCCCAACCAGGTGTTCAGTGCTGGTAAAAGCCACATAGCTGGGAGTGGTCCGGTTTCCTTGGTCATTGGCAATGATCTCTACTTTGTCGTGCTGGCAGACAGCCACACAGGAGTAGGTGGTACCGAGGTCAATTCCTATAGCCAGGGCATTTTGCTTAGGCATGGTTCTGCCGATCACCTTTGGGTTAGGACTGGTGGGCTAACGGAGGACTGCAAGGAGAGGAGTACTCCCATAAAGAGTGTTGTTTGCCTCTCTCACTCACGGGGTCTCTCTCTTCTCCTTCAAGTTGGCAGACCAGGGTTTAGATTTTTGCTAGGGATCGTGGCATCTTCTCCCGTGCCTAGAGCTGGGCATTACTTGGGCCTTTTCCTGCTTGGGCAGGGTGTCCACTCTCACCTTGAAACCCATTCTGATGACTTCACCATCACACATCACAATGGAGTGGAGCAGATCATCTGGAAAAGGCCAGCCTGGACCAGGCCCTGTTAGTTCCAAGCTCCTTCCCTCCCTTCCCAAGATTGATGTAATTTTGCCTAAGAATATACGGCTGGGTCAACGATCTCATCCACCTAAACATCTCCTTGCAGCCAGAGAAATAGCAGGGTCCTTGGGAAGGCTCACAAACTGAGCATCAAGGTAGGAAAGGTTGCATGTTCTTTGTGTGTCCCTTCTTTCATTATGCAGAAGGTATACTGCTGCTGCACATGGATGGTAGTAACTGGACAGGCTGATCTTATGTGCACTTCGTACATCATAGGAGGTCACAGGAATATAAACAGGAATAGTCCATGTGAGTCACACAACCATGTAGAATTTCGTTGGCAACCCTCTCCACTTGTTTCCTACATAACCTTGTAGGGTGGGGATGGGATACTAAAATCAGTAACTTGCCCCAGGATCAAATAAAGGATGATGCATTGCAATTCTGACCCAAAGCATTCCCCAAAAGAGTAGGAATAAAATGTGGCGAAATTAGTACAAGAGAAATGGACTGCTTGGTGTGTGGTTTTAAAGGAGGGATGATTGTTTAAAGAAAGCTTTTTCTCAGGCATTTGATACCCACATCAAGAGTTTCTTCCCTCCCAAAATGAGGACATGGTTCACAATTAAAGGGGGAAAAAATTAACAGCTACTGCTAAAAGCTGGTCAAGTTTGAGTAGGAAAACGGACACTACCGCTTTACAGTAAAGCAGACTATAGAGCTACTGTGTCAGCAGTGACCCCAGGGGTCAAAGGTGAAGGGTTTCCCAGGAGTGTCATTGATAGAGCCATCTTTGATGAGAAAGGAACCTCTATACAGATGTCCCATCATTACCATTAGAATGTGTAGCAAAACTCAGACTGCGAAAGAGAGTTTTAATGGAATGTAATTAAAACGGCACTGTTGAGCTTTCTTCCACCCTCCAGTCCTTCTCACTTTCTCCCGCCTGCACACCCCGTTTAGACCCTTAACCCTTTGCAAGGCATGGTTCGTGACTAGCCTTGCGGAGAGGAGGTATTTCGGTTCCCTGTTCCTGTTTTGAATTCCAAGGAGAGTCATAGGCAGGAGGGGGAGAAAAAATGGGGAGACGAGATGTTGGCATTGTATGAACACCTTCCCTTTTACAAAGAGCATCCAAACACCCTGCTCTCTTTTAGAAATTAATTTAGTGCCAGTTGCTAGCACTGTCCCCTAAGTGTAGATTTCCAAATCCTCAAGAGTACCTTTTGCCAACATTCTAGGCTTTTAAATCTTTTCCAAATTTGGTAAATTTGGAAAACTGAAATAAAAATGATCTCCCATTCCCACTAGCCAAACTCAATGGGTACAGCTCTTCCCAGAATGGAGGGAGCATGTCTGACGTATAGGTATTAAAGGTGAGGTGCTTTGTCTAGCATACCTTATATTTTGATCCCTGGATAATCTTTGTATGACTGATGCGGTTATCTGGTTCACACTGGAATCAACTCTTTCGGGGATAAACGTCAGCTGTGATGGACCACCACAGACTTACGATCAAGGAGGGATGCTATAAAGTTTTTATTCAAGTGCACTTAGGGCTTTAGGCACTTTAGATCCTGACAACATCACGGAGCAAAATACGGTTGGCAAATTTAAGTAATCCCTAACTTGACTGAATACTCAGATATTCAAATAGAAGCTTTGAGGATAACCATGACAAGCCCTGGGAAATAAACTAATGGCTGGAATCCTGTTGCGCTGCTATGCTTGCCTAACTCCAAGTTATGCAAGCGGTAGCCCTAAGCTGCACCAAGGAGGAAGTGCTATTCATAAAGTAGGTCTGCAATAATGGCACTGTGACTTGTTCAGCTGATTGCACAATCAAACTGAGCAATGTAGACTGCTTGGGCATAACACCTGCATGGTTCTACAGGTACTGTATAACTTTACATTATACTAACTTGGACATAATTTCAACCATTGCAAAAGTTTTGTTTTCTCATGTATTCATTTAAAAAATGAACACACAAACGAGCTCATATTCATTTCATATACCAAATGGAAAAGAATAAATTGCAAACATTGGCAATTTCCTCTGAACTGCAGCCTATTAATGGAATGCACTTGTTGTGAGTTTCTGGGAATTGCAATTAAAAGAAAACACAAATTTCTGGGCTATGGCTTAAAACTAGCCTCTGACTAGCTGTCTGTGCAAAAAGAAGGGAGGGGGAGCAAACACCCCTGGTACACTTTTAATCCTTAAAAAATCAAAGGCCAACTCCAGAGCCTCAGATCCTTGGTCCCACAGTATGTGACAGAGAGGGAGGGATAGAGGAATACAGGGAAAGGGAAAGGGGAAAAAAACAAAACAAAGGATGGCTTCTTCCCTTATTGTTCCCAAAGAAAGATAAGAATGTGCAGAGCTAAGAAACCTGATTTTTGGGGGGATGCTAATTGCCTGCATTCTGGGAGCTGAGATGAGAAAAAGTAGCCTTTCCAAACTCTGAGAATTCAACAGTAGAAAGCTATTGTTTTATCTTCTGCTCTTTCAGTCCTTTTCTTATGAAAATAGATTTGATTTCGATGAATAACGTGCATGGACTACTGTAAATGTTGGACAGAATCACGTCCTCCTAGCTAAAGGCATTTTACTGTCTTGGCTAGGAAAATTCTCTCTGCCACACACATACCTGTGTACACACACAAACACATGTATGCAGACACCAGGGCACGCACACAATATTGTTTGTTATCATTAGCAAAGGTCAATTTAATTGTAGTAACAGAGTATAAATCATCCAGGATGGGATTTCCATGCCCGCCTACCCAGATTTTCTCAGAGCAAGCTTGACAAATCTCTTGCCTGCCTTGTCCCTTAAGCCCAGTTTGAAAATTCACTCACCCCTTTCACAGTCCTGCCTTGACCTCTTGCTCCTCTTCTCAGACACAGGATCTGTCCTTGTCTGCTTCCCTAATATTAAAGGATGAAGTATATCATAGTCCTCACACCATCCATCAAGTTGCCAGCCCTCAAGATCAGGGTCACAAATAAAAAAGCAGAGGTCAATTGGGAATATACAGAGAGAGCTTGCAGGGGCAATGGGAAGAACACAGAGAGGAACATCTCCGTTTGTGAGACAAGATTAAGAACAATATTTGGGGTGGAGAGAGTTAAAACCTTCTATGTGTTGGCTGCTGCCAGGTTCAGTAAGATGACCACACAGACAGACAGACAGGCAGAGACACGATCTTATTATAAACAAGATTTTTGCCATTTGTTCTGTTCTGCTCCATTCTATTGCCTCTTCTATCCTTTCACTTCATGTTGTGGTTTTTCTTAGAGCTCCATTTATCTGTTTATATAAATGGATAATTCTGCAATTGATTGTTTCTGCTGCTTGGGTTTCTATTTCTTGCTTTTAGGCACAAGCTGTTTCCATCCACCTTTGATGTAGATTGTAAGTTATTTTATTCAAAAAATAATATTTATTTTTATTAATTTAAAAAATGGGTGCACAGTGAGGAACGGTAAGACATACATTGACAATGTATTGAGAAGTGGCAAAGCCCTGTTTCATTTCAGCAGAGATACTAAGGGGGCACCTGGTTCTTATGGGGCCATCCTGATTATCCTCAGGGCAGTCCTGAGAAGCAGATTAGCTTGAAAAAGCCACCAACCTGCTATGTTTTCTGGCTAAAAAGGGGAACAGGAACCCCAGCCTTCAACTTGTGCTGGTGTTTCGGCACACAAACACCGAGGGCTGAGAAATGGCTTTTTATTACCCACCCCATCACTGGGAGCATAGTGTTGGCTACAGTTCTTTATGATTTGCTTCTTTGAACACTTGAAAGATAGCGCCAAATAACAGAATTACACAAAGTACTACACGGGCTGCTGCACATGAGTTGCCAAATAAGGAAACTGAATTGCACTACCTGGTTCCTTAAACTGCCTAGGGAGACTTTCTTTGCCATTGGATCGGCCAAGTATCCTCTTTGACCAAGGGGCAGGCCTCTTCTTGGAGAAAGTTTGTCTATAATGTTCCTTCTTGGGTTCAGATGCAAAATTATAGATCACAAGCCCACTGCAAATCCAGGTGGGGCAGATGAGGGAGCCGTGTGCCTGACTGCCTGCTGAGCCCACGGGCTGCTCACTACGGATAGTGGGGAACTCCCAGGCCCCTGATCTTTCTCCCTCTGGGTTATCCTCTTTCAATCAGACTTTGGAATCAGCAGCACTTCATACCAAGAACAAAGCCACAAAGAAGCGAACATCATTGTTAGCATCTATTCATGTTACCTTTTTTTATTCTACTAATTTTTTCTGCAAGGTGAGAAAAGTATTTTTAACACATTTTCTTGGTATGCAGTGCATTTTGGGCCCTGCCCTGTATCGACTCTGGTTCACTTTAAGGTCTGATCCTGCCACAAGAGAGATTCTAGTTGATGTTCAAACAATCAGACTTTTGGACATCCTCCTCTCTTAATGAAAATGGAGCCACCTCTTCAGATGGACTGCAGGAATTTTCCTGGAAGGGCAAAGCTACGTAGAAGCAGCATGTTGGCATAATCTGCACCCACACTGTTCAAGGTGACCACACAATGCCTCTTTATATATATAAAATAATAAGTAAAGGTAGGGTCCTGGAGAGTCAAGGGCCCATCTCCTTCCCCCATGAACACCCAGGCTGCCCCACAGGTGCCCCCACCAGCACCACCACAATCCTGCATCAAGATTCCTCACTGCCTGAGGTCAAGCTCCCAAACACAGATGTGTCTCGGAAAAGCATCTGTCCAGCCTGAGACAAGCAACTCCCAACCCTGTTGCCGCCTTCCACCCCATTGTTGTCCAGCCCCCTCAACACTCACACAGGCATACTTTTTTGTGTGGCAATGTCTCTCCTCCCCCCCCTCGTTTTATTTCAATCTAATTGAACAGGGAGTTTTGAAGATAAAAGCTGGCAGGGCTAATTACACCTCATTATTCCAAAGGCTCCCTCATGCCTCACTTACTCTCAAATGCCGGCAAAGCGCGGGGGAGGGGCAAGGCTATTAAGGAGAAGGCCTTGGTTGAAAACAAAGTTAGTTAATTCACACAGCGAAGCAGAAAAGAGAGGGCTTGTGTGGTTTCATTCTTTGCTGTCTCCTCTTTTCCTTTATTTCTTTCTTTTTTTAAAATTTGGGAGCAGCGAATATGCAGAGTCTCCCACTGAAAAAAAATGACAGCAGCAGTGTACACAAGAGGGAAAGAAAGAAAGAAAAGCAAATCACCCGAGAAATGCTTGTGGGATGACCAGTAATGAAAAATCCACATATCCCACTGCATAAATCCCACCCTTTGAGACACTGGGGATTTTTCTCTTCTGGAGTGGGATTATTTTTTCCCCAACAGTTTTGGCTACAAACTTTGGAAAAGGAAAAAGAAAATGGAGAAAAATCAGTTCAGTTTATCCTTGTGTGACAGCCAGAAACGTGCATGTCTGCTTCAGCACATGTACAAATGTCACATCAGAAACAGACAAGGTAGAGAAGTAGGATGGTGCAGTGTGTGGCATATGAGGGTAGAGAGTGCATCCAGGGTCACTGCAAAGATAAAACCTGCAAAAATGCCCCTCTGACCTTACAGAAAGAAGAGTTGGATTCAAATGCCATAGAGGTAGATGATTACAATGATATTAAGCATCAATTCAAACATTTACTTTTAAAAAGTTAGTGGCAGATACAGTTCTCATTCAATGCCTTTAGTTACCTCTGCTGGACATGATGAACCATTGACTTCCAACAAGACCCTCTCTGTGTGAATACAAAATGAAATTTTAAATACAGACTAGAGAAACTCTTCTCTCTCCCTCTGATGCAAGCAAGTTTCATGTTCTTTTTCTCCTCCTGAGCTAGCTGTTTTACACTAATGGCTTCCTGGTGCAAAACAGTAACCTCAGACATCATGAGGACAGCACCAATGAAAGAATGAATGAATGAACAAACAAACCAAAGAAAGAAAGAAAGAAAGAAAGAAAGAAAGAAAGAAAGAAAGAAAGAAAGAAAGAAAGAAAGAAAGAAAGAAAGAAAGTAAAGATGCAGCACAAAGGTAAGGCAAACACGAGAAGGGAGACGGCCAGTCCAGAGATAAAAAAAGAAAGAAAGAAAGAAAGAAAGATGCAGCACAAAGGTAATGCAAACACGACAAGGGAGACGGCCAGTCCAGAGATAAAAAGTGCACTCCAGCTAATACAGCTATTCCAGACCTATTAAATTAGTGCTTCTGGAGTCTGTAATACCTGCTCCAGATTTCACCTATCACTACCACTGCCATGTTTTTTCTCGCAGCTCTGAATATTAGAGAAGAAACTTGCTAAACAAATTCTGCCTCATGTTGAGATGACCTGATGGTAGAAGGCAGCGGATAGATGCCACAGATGCAGTCCACACTGAAATGAGTCACACTGTGTCATTTGTTTCATTCAAAAGTCTTGGTGGACATAGTATTTTCATGTCTCATGATGTCTAGTGTGAGAAAAAAATGTCATTCAGCTCTTAGATTGCACTTTTCAGATTTATAGGGACATTTTGGAGAAATAGTGTATGCAAAAAAACACATTTAAAAATGTAAATGGATGAAATGCACACAATGGGGAAAATCTGCAGACATATGCATGCTTTCATCAAAAAGGAAAATGCATAATGAAAAAAATCCATACATTTTGGGGAAAGAAACAAAAATATGCATTGAGTGTCATGGGGGAATCAAAAACAAAATCTCACTGCCAGAAACAAGAAGAGGAAGAAAACACCAAAGAAAAGCACCAAAATTTAGACTGAGAGACACTCTTATCCTAAATCAGGAGTCCACCAAATAGAATTTAAAGGCACAAGAATGCACCAGATAGGAAAGCAACAAGTTATATGCAATAAAGTTATGTGGAAAAAAAATGCTGTTCCTTGTTCCAAGGGAAGAATGAAGGTTTATCTCAACATGAATGGATGGGAACAATGCTGACTGGTATATAATAAGGAATGGTTCCTAAAAGATTTTTATAAGTAACTTGTTAAGAGGTAGAAATCCTTTCATGTTCTGTGTCTTCCTCTTATCAGTCATAAAATAAATAAATTAAAAAGCAATGAGCAATGCAACACACCATCTATAAAACATTGCCATGTTTCACAGCAATGAATTACTCTTAAAACAATGTAATGAGTAACAGAAACAAGTAACATAGGAAGCTTAAGGATGGGACTCAAACCCTCGGTCCACCTCACCCAGGGGTTCAGGGAGAATTTGTTCCTGGCCCTAACTGGAGATGCTGCTGCTGGGGCAGGAGCAGCTCAAAAAGAGGTTGCTGCCTGAGACAAGGACCGGAGCGAGCGTGCCTCCCACTTTCCTTTCAAGCACAGAAAGTCACTGCAGGTATGCATGATGTCAGCAATGACAACGGGGGGGGGGGTCACATTTTCCTTAACATCCCAAGGCTTTGTTCTCAAAAAGGTGGAGATGACCATTCAGGAAGAATGGTTTCTGCACTGACCCCCCAACAGCCACAGCCTGAGGCAGCTGCCGCATTCTGTTTCATGGAAGTGCAGGTCCTTTGCCAGGGTTCAGATCTGGGGTTTTTACATGTTGTAAAGTCAGTGTTCTCCTTATTTCCCTATGGCCCTTTCCCGGGGGAGGGGGGAGTTATTCACCAGAATCCAGTGGTGGACTGCTTAACACCCAGTGCCCAATTAATTAACATTGGGGGGGGGGAATTCCCCGTAGGAGATACACATATTCTTCAATCTAGGAAAAAATCAGTTCAATGGGATATGTCTGCATTATGTCATTGCACTGATTTCAACAGGATATAAAAAAATAAGGAATAAACCACTTACCTCAGGCAAAGGTGAAACTTAACTCCAAAAATTAAAAAGTGAGTCAGACCTCTTAATTATTAAATTTCGAGCTTTGAATTTAAAATGGGGGTGGGTAGGTTGACAAATGAATTTTTAAAAAAAACAATTTAAAGCCAGATCTGCGGTCTTGCTTTTAATATAAGTGAACAGATTTTATAGGTGCAGATTTACCAGGTTTAAAATGTAAAAACAAAACAGTTTTGGTTGACTAAATACAGGTCAGTCTGACAAAGTAATAACCTGGAATTCTTTATCCAAGAATAAGAGATATGAAAAAGATAATTTGCAATGTTTTTGATACTAAAACATTGAAAAAGAGATTTTAAAAATCTCTTTAAAATCCTTTTAAAATCTCTGAGTAATTAGTAAGCTCAATTAATGTATAAATCACTTCAACGAATTCTAATAAAACCAGTTTTTCTAGTAATTTCTTTCCTCAAAATTTTGTTCTGACATAACTTTTTATAAAGCAATTAGTTTTTTTTAATTTAATAAAAATCATAGTTACATAAATATATATGTTAAACCTCTAATATATCAAAAAGTTTTCTTGTCTTAAAGTATTACGCTTTTTAAAAGGACTTTTTGGAAAATACGGACTCATTTTCAGCTAATTAGAAAAGCTATAGAAGTTGATCAGGAATGACTAAAAATCCCTCACACGTTTGCCTGAGAACGGCTGTTGGTCTATAGAAAAGTTTAAATCATTTTACCTCCCAACTGAGTTCATGGAATTCAAAGCCTGTTTCTACCTTCGAAAGCCTTGAAAAATACACAGCCAATCCCAAATTCTAGATTCACATATTGGTTACCTAAATTAATTTAACACCCTTTTTTGCATTACGCTTCTAATCTTCCTTCTCTTTTTAAAAACAGAATTTTTTTTCTTTGCTACATGCTAAATTCAGGGCCAAAACGGGGGGAGAGGAAGACGAAGCTACAGAAGTCTGGATCAAAAGTATTGCAAACTTGACACAATGATATTCTCTGATTTTTATTGAAACAGTGTTATGATTCTGTCTGGTGTTATGATTCTTAGCTGCTGTTACAAAAACACTTCAACGTGTCCAGCAGGACAAAAACAAATTCCATTTAAATTCCCTTGGCAACAATAGCTTCCAAGACAAAAAATAAAAAAAACGACCACTGAAACCTAAAACATCCAAAATTGAGATTTCTGCTTTAAGTTCCATCCCCCCGCCCCAAAAGAAAGCTAAATTAACGACTGAAAAAAAGTCAGCTACATATGTATAAATTGTGCATATATAAAAATAAGTATACATTGTTTCATTTTAGGAATCCTCTAAAATCCCATGCCCCTTTGTTTGTTGACATCGTGAGGAAACTGACCGACTTTAACATCTATAGTCAGCTTTGAAAATGTGTCCTGTTTTATAAAAGTTTCTTTTTTGTATTCTAATAAATTATAAACTATGACTGACAAGTCAATAATTTTTGTTCTTTACTTGCAAAGATTTAAATCTTCCTCTTAAAAAAAAACAAAGTAATTGCAGGTTGTCAGGGCGCTACTTTATTTACTTCCTGTTATGCAATGCTCTATTAACAGAACATGGTCTTGAAGAAATATATTTTCATGGAGCTACTGAAGTAGCATCAGTTAAATGCAAGACAGATGCATCAGTATGTTTACTCAGGAGTAAATCCCATTGTTTTCAGTATGTTTTTCCCCCAGCCTTAATCCCACACTAATTACACACACACACACTCCATCAAGCTCAATGGGGCTTAAAATAGGCAGGAAGGCACACCAAAGCCTTTTTAAAAAATAATAATACTGCTTCTGCTATGGAACAAGTTGTGCTGGGGACTGGGGGTGGGTGGGAGAAGTGCATTTAGGGGAAAAAAAGAGAGAAACCCATTTAGAAGGATTTAGGGGTAATCAAAATACAAGCAAAGAGACTGGATTATCACCTTTCCTTGTTCTCCAGGGAGCGTGTAAACCCTCCTCCTCCTCCTCAGATTATGTTGCTTGATTTTAAATGAAGCAGAAGGATTAGTGGAGAGAACCGGACAAAACAGTTACATTGCTCTGGCACCTTGTGCTACCATAATAGTTATTAAGCCATCATCTGCTTTTTTCCCCTCCTTCAACCAAGAGATCAACAGCCATCAAGGGCAAGCCACAGAAGGGACTGTAGGGTTGTTCCTAAGCTCCATTATACCGTTACCTCACAGTTTCTTGGGGCAACCACAGAAGGATGAGAAACCTTGAAGAGAAAATTTGAGCTGTGGTGTCCTCCTATGGTTATTATAAGTGTTAACTGACAATGAATTTTGTCATCCTGCCCCCCCCCGCCACTAGAGCACAAAGAACTACCTGCAAGATCATCTTGCAAGGAGTTTCAAATCCGTGGCAGTCCACGGAAAGGCAGGTGTGTCAACTTCCACTCCTGGTCAATCGGTCTGTCAGGGGAGTGTGTGTCTCTATGTGTCTCTGTGTTTAAATCACTTCCAGTATGGAAACGTGGATGGCTCCACATAATCAGCACAGACCCCACATCCATGGCAAAGCCACAGTGACGGCCAAAGCATCTTCCACCCTCTGCTCAGAGTTTTCACCGATGAAACTGCCATTGTTCACAAAAATTTACAGATGAAAAAAACATATTCCATTTCTAAGCTTTCCAGGTTTCCAATTGCTTTCACCTTTTCTTAAAATGTATGCCTTTTGTTACTGTAAATGGATCAGTCAAAATATGGTTCAAAAAGGTGCTAAAAAGGGCTGCCCAAGGCCTTTTGATTATAGCAATCAGAATCCTTAATCTGGGAGTTTCTTTGCACTAAATGCATCAGCACAAGACTTCCTTTCCTCTCTGTCTGTTCTTTATTTATCTGCAAAAATGGCTTTAAATCATTAATATTTTGTTAACTATTAATGAACAATTAGCTTCATTCATTATCAAAATTTGTCTATAATCTCTAAAATTGAACTGTGAATGTCAACATTTGGAAAAATTGAGGCATTTGATAGAAAACATACATATGGATGCAGATAATGACACCTAAATAGGCATGATTCTCCCACTATGTCCAGCATCATATATTATTAGCAAGAAATCTCTAAATCTTAACTTTGAAATATGTTTCCCAAATTTGGTAATTTAATTGTTAAAAAAGCAAAAGCAAAGAGAAGCAGAAAGCAAGTGCGATCTTCAAAAAAATCATGGAATTCTATACGTATTAACTCATGGTTATTATTCTGTCACAAAGTGACTTCCTTCAACCATATAATGTCCTTTGCAAAAGATAATGTTGCTAACCTTATACTATCTGTTCATATCTCAGAGAAATGTAGGATGCTTTTGTTAGACCAGGGATGCAAAAATCTGTCAGTTTCATTTTTGCTTGTTTTCAAATTCCATACAATATGAATATTCTTATGAAAAATGAAGTGAAATTTTCACCTAACTCATTCTCGCTTTCCATAGTTTTAAGGATGCAGCATCAGTATGCTGTTGCTTCAAAAAAAAAGTATGCTATTTAGTAATGTTTTGAAATTCTAAGTACCAACAAGTAAATTCCAATGTGTACTCTAATTAATGGGGAAAATATATTTTCAAAACATGATCTTTTGATAGATGAAGTGAGGCTTATCCTCTGTTTGGAGTAATTTTATTTCTCTGATTTTTTGTCTTTTTTTGGTCGTATTTTTATAATCATATACAATTTAAGTGCTATATGTTCACTTGCAGAGTTGCCTAACCTGTGTTCTCAAAAACAGTTTAGTGTACCCTACAGACAAACACTGAATTCTACACAAAGGTGAATCTTGGGCCAATAATAATTTTTAAACGCTATTTAAAGAAGTGTCTGTTCATTAATACATAGAATCCTTGAAACATCTACAGAAGCCAACATTTATGGGATCTTGGGCCTTGAACAGACCAAGCAAGCTATGCAGAAAGGACAGAAACAATGTTGTACTTTCACCAAGGAAGTGCTGAATTTCTCCAGAGGGTGAAATAGATTTTGCAAAGCATATGATCTCCCTCCAGGAGCCGCAAGTGTATTTTCTTGCATGTCCTTGTCCTTCACAGGGTGATCAGATTCCACCATGACACTGGTGTCACCTTACATTAAAGGACTTGTGATTATGGATTATTGTCTGGATCACAGATACTGATGGAGAAAGCCACCCCTAGAGCTATTTCTTTATAATGTGACTGTTGTGCTTAAGTCAAAGCACTTGTGGTGGATAGAACGGCAGGGGTTCTGGATTCATTTCTTGTGTATGTGTGTAATAGGTATCTCATTTACCAGACTGACCAGTCAATGGATTGTACCATTTATAAAACTGTGTGTAGCAGCAGTGAAATGACATAAAGGCCGTTCTCTTTTTATTTAAATACAGAGATATGCCTAATTTTCATGTAAAGTGGAAGAATAGGGAACAGGCAGAAATTATTTGAGGCATCCTTCACCCTTCCCAGGAAAAACATAGAGAAAGGAAGAAAAACTCCTGGGCTGAAATTCTAGGAATTCTCCTCACTTCTCCTAAACTCTTTCAGGGGTCAAATTCTGACACATAACCTGGGACAAAAAGGCCTTCCTTCCTAATTGCCACATATGTTTTGATCTGTTTCTATTTCAGCTCAAAAATTATATACATCAGCTGCCTGGGATGCAACTCCTATGAAATGCAGTGGGGAAAACCTTCAAAACAAGACTTCCAACATGTAAGACATAGTATTATAATGTGACCAATGTCACTAACATGGATTTTGATAGTGTTGTGTTCCTTACAGCAATGGACTACGGGCTCTTTCCCCTCCCAAACCATGATCCCTTTCCCTTGAAATTCCTCAGGATATTTTTGCCTCAAGACTCACCAATTATGTTTTGAATTGTGTTTTGGGTAAAACATGGGTATAAGTGTGCTTTGATCAACACAATGGAGAGATCTCTAGGGGTTACAGCCAGGGTTTCATCTACAGAGAATAAAAAGGGCAGCTGCAAACAGATACTTTAACAGCTTTCTTCTTGGAGAAATCTATAATCTTTCTCGCTTGCAGGTCAAGCTGCCTACGGAGACAACAGCCACCCTTCCTTGCAGACTCTTTTCTACTTCCTTCGAGTTCCCTAAATCCAGCAGCAGACCATCTGGCCATCAGTTAAGAATCCTGAAGGGCTCAAAAGCTCACCCAAGTGTGCCATGCTGTAGTAATTAAATTTAACTGCATTTCTTTTTCTGAAATCCCAAGGCCAAAACTAAAGACAAGTACACAGGCTTGTGTGATATCACAGGGTGGAGCCTTGTCATGCTACAGAGGTGCAGGCATTTTAACAGCAATTGTGAAATGGTGTGTGTGTGGGGAGGAGGCAGACAAGGAAGACACTTTAAAAGTCGAAATGCAAATTCCTTTAGCAGTTCTGAGGCACACAAGAAAATGAAAGAGGCAAAGGTGCTTCTTGTACAAAGGAAATGTCTTAAAGCTATGACAATTAATACCAAAATTTAAGGTTGCCAGCATCTCTTCTAAGGGGATTTCAGGTCTGAGACCTGGAAAATATGAATGTTGAGTTTAGGAGCCGCCTAGAGTGGTCTTTTAGGCCAGATGGGCGGGGGATAGATGAATGAATGAATGAATGAATGAATGAATGAATGAATGAATGAATGAATGAATGAATGAATGAATGAATGAATGAATGAATAAATGAATAAATAAATAAATAAATAACATGGAGCAACAAAAAGATTCCCCTCCTCCCCAGTAATCAAGGTGAACAGGAATATAGTCATGTTATTTTGGTCTTCACAACATGTTTCACTCAACAGCAAAGTATATTATGAGACCTTTGGTGCTGCTTCGTGACATCTAACCTCTGCTGCCTGAAGTAGCTACTCTAGTCTGCTAAATGGTAGGTCCATGTATCCAAAGTTACCCAGAATATAAATATTTTCCCCCCCCTCCCTCTCCAGTAAGACTAGGAATGTGTAATAAATAAAAGAGAAAGGGATGAACTGATGAAAATTCCTGCAGCCTCATCTGCCTGAAACTTCAGAACTGATTTCCCACCTCATCCAAACCATAGGCTGGAAAAGTTACATTTTGGGACTACAAAAATGTAACTGTTCCATACTCAGCATGTTTACCTGATAGCAGCTTCCTCACCTCGAAAAATCCCACTTTTGTAGTTGAATAAACAAACTAGCATTTAAACCATTACTAGGAAGGAAGGAAGGAAATACCAGTTTGATTCTGAAAATAATACTGAAGTGCAGCTGTGTCAAAATGACAATAATTATATTTAAATCTCTCTCTCTCTCTCTCTCTCTCTCTCTCTCTCTCTCTTTTAAAAGGTACCTTGTACCATTTGATGGAAGATGTGGAAGGGGTCACACATGCTTAATCCCATATCAGAGTTCAGAAGGATTCTTCAGCAAAAAGAATCAGTGAGACACAGTGATGAAAAATTAAGTTTCTCCTTGAACTATTAGTTCACTTATAAGGAGATCTGATTAAATCCTATCAGCTTTACTCTGAACCCGTTTTTACATCTTGCTTTCACACTTTTAGAACTTTAACGTCAGTGTGCATTTGTGTGTGCGCTTGCGTTCCTGTATAGCGCAGGTAAGTGCCAGGAGTTCAGAAACAACAAGGTACAACATTAATAGAGAGTGAGGCCATCCATGCCATGAATCAGAATTCCTCACAATGTGATCTTCCTCCCCTCCCCACAAATTATCTCGTCAGATCCAGGCGAGATATGTGCAATGACTGATTGGAAATGCTTTCTAGCAGGAGTCTTGTTATCAAATGGAAAGAACAAATGCCCTTCCTGCTTTACACAGACAATGGGGATGGAGATTAAACTGTTGGCGCCTCTTATGCCAAACACTGCCACTTGCTTCAGAACAAGCCTGCCCTCCTGGCAAAGAATAAGTCTGCCTATTCATCTAAATCGCTCTAATTCAGCCCACCCCGATGAAGACCAATCTTGTGGGAAGAGAGCAAGCGACGTGTGATGACATCTACTGAGATGTGATGGTGTCACTGTGGCACACACGTTGCACTGCGAAGTCATCCTACTCACCCCCTGTTCAAGAAAGATCAGCTGTCTACTTCAGGAAAGCACAACAATCAGAATTACACAAGACAGGCCTCATCATCTGTTTGTCTTCAGGTTCTTTTAGTGTGAATGGGAGAGACCTACTCTGCCAGAATATATAAATGCGAAATACAATTTTAGTCCTGGTTAAGATCAGGCCCACTGAAATGAATGATAATTGCTACTTTAAAATCACCTAAATTTTACTGAATCTGCTCTAGTTGGGATTAGCATTGCACTTGTCTCCTGATTTTTATTTCAACAGTAGATGAACATCTGTTGCAGGGTGAATTCAGACGACAGGAAAACAGAGACGATGCCCAGAACAGTGGCAAATGAAAAACAGATAAACTGAGTCGGTTTTATCGGTCTACCTCCCCATCTGGACTGTACAGCAAATCCACATCAGAAACCATTTAAAAAAACAAAACAAAAACAGATTACGTTTCTCGAATGGGAACGCAGTGGGGAACACAGGGAGCCACTCAAAACCCAGTCAGGTTTCCAGTTCAGTTTGCTCAGCCTTGTCTCTACACTAAACATCAGGCTCTCAAACGGGGTCCCTCCTGGGCAGAATGGCTGCAAAGAGGATTGCAGAGATTCCAAGACGGGATTCCCTTCAATCAGGATGCTATTGTTGGATACATCAAATGTTGAGGGAGGGAGGGAGGGACGAATCCACAGAAACACCAAAACGTGACACAAGCATTATGTTCTCAATAGATGATGGAAGACATATTGTCTGTCGTGGTTGCCTTCCATCCATAATCCTATACACGTGTTAACAAGATTTGCTTCTTAACAGGGTCTACATTTTTACTAGCATTCTTTGCCTTGCGAATCTACAGTTCAGTTCTGTCTTTCTATCCAAAAAGGGCAGTGGGGAAAGAGCTAAAAAGCAAAAACAGTATGAATGTCTGGTCACATAGTTGAAGCTACCCAGGAACAGATAACTAATAATAATAAGATTTGAAGTAAACAAGAAGACATAGAACAATGGTGAATATATATCTTAATTGCAGCCAAGCACACCCTGCCTTCATTCCATTTTTCTCTTCTTCCAGTTGACATTCAAAATGCTACATTCTCCTTGGAATAAAATTTAGAGTAATATAAGGAGTTTCCCATTTTTGTCCCTTTTAGAGACCTGGGATACACATGCGCACACAAGCATATATTATCTGTGTAGAAAATGTAGGAAACATTCTCTTTGCAAATGGCTTACCCACTTGATTGTCTCCGGTTACTGAAAGATCCTTATCCCAAGTTTCCAAGGGAAGATGGAATGGCTTCGGAGATGGGACTAGACTTTGGAAGCTGTGAATGGCATTGTGAAAGAAAATAAAAAGAGGGGGAGAGGGAGAGAGAGAGAGAGAGAGGGAAACAAAACCAACTGGTTTCTAATCTGCTTGAATACACGCCTTTTGCTGAATCCATCCATTTACTACAGGCTTTGTTTTCATTTTTATTAAGTAGCTTGTAGGGCAGTCTGCAGATGCTGGAAAGTAGAAAAATGGTTTGGTGAAGAGGTTGGCTTTTTAAAGCACACTAAATGTGATTCTGGCATTCCTTCTTTTAATGATGCCAAAACCTGGAGCCGCTCTCTCATACCAAATTATCTTTGGAGACTGCTTCAGAATGGATAGTCTCCACAAGGGTTGTAGGCCACTGCAGGTACTCTGTGGATAGCAGAAGAGGAGACAAGTCCTTATCTAAAGATGATAAATAAGTGATCACAGGTTGGGGAAGATGAAGGCAAGATTAAAGTCAGCAGAGTGAGAGATTCTAACAATCTGACCCACAGACGAATAATCCTCTAGGTTGTTCTCGTGTATGAGAATAAGCCACTAAAAGGCTATTCTGAGCCCCTTTTTTCTTAGTGCATGGAATGGGCTGAACTTCCAGCCCTCCGCTTCGGGCACTGGAATCTCTTGAACTGGTCCTGCAGGTGAAAATACACAGAGATTGTAACTGAATGGTAAGGAAGATCTCCTCTTCATATGGAAGGTCCCACGCTCCATCCCCAGAGGCATTTCCTGGAGGTGGAGAGCAGAAAAAGTCCCCATTTCATTCTGTAGAACTCTTGCCAGTTCTTGTACACAATGCCAGGCTGTAGGGGTCAAGTTTCTGAGATAGGAAGAACTATGGCTTGACCATAGAGAACCTGGTTTTACATGCAGAAAAGCCCAGCCTCACCTCTTGACATCTCTGGTGGGGTAGGGAAGTAGCCTAGAGTGGTCCTGAGTTGACTAGATAGGCAGGATATAAAATAAACAAATAAATAAATAAATTTAAAGATTCTCTGGAAACTTTGTCCAGGACAGAAGACTGTAAGAAGATGGTCCTCCTTTTTGATATGCCCTTTATCTGAAGGACTGTCCAGACTAGCTATGGTTTAAAGACAAAGAAATACATACAAGATAGAAAGAGAGAGCAAGGACCCTGAAGTCACCCTCTGTCCACTTTGAGCAACCCCTGAACAGCAGCAGGCACAAAGCTCACCTTCCACATTCTGAGAGATGATGTTGTTTTGACTACTTAATGTTCTTTCAATCATTTCAAAACATCTCTGGTTTTGCATCTATGCCCATACGTTAGCATTTTGTACCCTTTTATACCTTCTCAATCCTTTGTGACTTCCTTTTTTGGGGATGCATAAATATCCACCCTGGCTGTCATTCTAAGCCCATGTTAAAGCACTTTTAACAAAAGTGCAAGTGCAAGTGCTGCTTCCAGAGCTGTATAGTCTGCAATGCAATCCTGGACGCAGGCAACCACTTTATGGCATCAGCGGCACTGGCTGCCAATTCACTTCTGAGTCCATTTCAAGATGCTGGGTATAACTTTGAAAGCTGATCATGGCTTGGGACCTAGAGACATGGAGGGCCTTTTCATCTCATGCAAACCTGTCCACCCTTCTCCATGCTTGTGACTCTTCTGTGTGCACATTTGGTGACAATACACAAGGGGGTAATACCCTGTATTTAAGTTCCCTTCCTGCCCAAGAACAGAGCTGTTATTTCTTTTCATCTGATTTCTGCAGGCATTTTAATATTTCTTTTTAAATGAGGGTTAAACTCTGTAGCAGCTACATTTCATTTATTAATTGTTCATATTTGTTCTTCATGTTTTTGTCTCTTTGTCCCTAGAATTTATCTCCTAGATTCATGGAATGTGTGTGTGTGTTTTTGGTTTTGTTTTGTTAACCAGGTGAAGTCCAAAAGACCATTTGGCTTTTACTGCAGATTCTCAGGGTCAGTGGCTGCTCAACTTGGGAAGAAAAACATGTCACTGACAGCATCGTTGTGAAAACACAATAGGAACAAGTTTACAATCTCCAATCTCAGAGCTTCTGGTGATTTAGAGCATTCTTGATTCCCCAGGGGGGTCATATTCCACATCCTGAATGGCTCCGTAAACCAAAATATTTCATTTGGTTCTTGCTGTGTTTTGCAAAATCCAACTTGCCCTCCCTTTCCAAAAGAGAAAACAATTAAAAAAACACCAGGTACCATGTATTCTCTTGATGTTCACGACAATCAGACGAAGTAGATCCTGTTGATGTGGAAGAGTTCAACAGCAGAAAAGCCTTTAAAGGACAGTACAGTAAATAAGCCAGGGTCTTGCAGGTCCAGACAAGTTGGGAATTGACTTAACTGAACAAAGCAGGAGAGCTTCATACCTTCCAGCATTCCCAAGACCCAGTTAACAGAAGGATAAACAGGACAATGGCCCCACAAAATTACTATAAATGCTCAAAAGGGATTTTGATTTCAGCTATAATTTCTACTAAATTTCACTCAATTTTGAGGCTGGTCTGGAGATTCTTGACTGATTTTTCTTCACTGCAATACCAATGGTTTTCTTCATATAAACTTTGTTACATTTTAAATGCTGCTGGCACTATGGTGACCTGAACGTTATACCATTTCTTTTGATTGCAGGCTAAACAGATTTACATTGTAGTTTCTAATTTTCCTTTTTGACATTTGTTTTACCCGTATATATTCTCCATCTGAAAAAATGAAAACATGTTTGTTTTCTAAGGATCAGAAAAAGATGGTGGAGATTCTTAGTCTTTGCCATTCATAGTTTATGAAAACAAACAGGGTTGCAATTATGGGTCACATGTGTTGTTTTTCAGACATTTAAAATACTGCATTCTTTTGAAATCTCTGGAGAGGACTTAGAGGGTGACACTCTGGGAAACATCTTGGCATAATTTCCATTGCAGAGAAGCAAATTAAATCCAGTTTGTCACAGAAAGATAAAGCCATAAAATAGATTCTTTCAGACGCTTTAACCATTAAAAAGCTCACAACACCTTAAAAGGCTTGTATGAAAAAGGATATGCTTTAGTTTTATTTTCTCTAAAAAATGATCTCAAGTGATTTCCATCCGGATTATGAACAGAAACCTGTGAATCATGATAAATTTTTTTTAAAAAAAAACTTAAAATTAGCTAAAAGCCTAATTGGTCTATCTAGAAGGACTTCCTCAATCCTAGAGATAAAAAGACAAATAAAATATGGTCTCACTGCGCCATCTACTGTTCATTCTGCAACTGGCAAGTTCCGTTTTGAAGAGGTAGGAGAAAGAGGTGTAACAAAAACGAAGGGAAAAGAGAAATAAGAAAAAAGGAAGGCAAGGGTGGTTGATAGGCTTCCTAGACCACTAAAAAGTCACAAAAATAAGCTAGCTTTTGGCATCAAACAGCCGGTCTCATCAGCCAGGGCACCACAAAGCATAAAACTGCCAGAAATCTTGTCCAGGTGTGCCTGGGTGTGTAATTCTTAAAGAACAATTATGAAAAATATCTGATGTTAAAAGACACACTTAAGGATGTGCACGCACTCCTATCCACCTGCAAAAGGAAACCTGTTGTTGTGATAAAGCAGACACCAATAATTGGGGATGCTTCCAGACTTTAGTGTCCGTCACCCTCACTTCCCTAGTTTTTTATAGGCGGCTCTCGGGCCATCATTTTCCATCGCTCATCCTTAGGAGGAGCAGAACCGGAACATGGATTAGCACAGAGCAACGAGACGACCTGGACAGGGCAGGTGGTGATTTCCATAAGACGGCTAGGGAGTGACTGGAGTAGGTGGCCAAGCAAGGAGGCAGGCATAGAGTCTTAAACAGAAAGGCCAGAGATAACAGAAGCTTCTCTCCAGAGGGGCCCAGTGCTTCCTACAGCCAAATCATCCTCAGCACCCACCCTTTAAGATCCGTAGCCTAAGGTCTCTCCAACACCTTTTTCTGGAGCTCTGCTGACCTCAGCTGGCAAAGAGCTCACATTGCGGTGGTGTTCCTTTATTGACAAAATCCAAATTGGGATGAAGCTCGGAAAACCTATTCTTGCCGTACTTGAGCAAAAGATTGATGATAAGTGGATCCTAAACTTCAGTTTAAAGTGAGGTTGCTTGCAAAGAACAGACGAAGAACCGTCAGGCAGAGATTCACAGACTTGCAGACCTCAAGGCTCATTGAAGCCAAGCCACCCACACGAAGCAGGAAAAGCAGGGGTGGAGAATTCCCCAGCCGCTACAACTCTGGGAGGAATTTGTGAGCCTTCCTCAGTTCGTCCCTTCAGTCTCCAAGAAGAGGCTCTGAAAGATGATCCCTGGTGGGCTCAATACATTACCAGCCAAGCAGAGACCTTGTGGTTTCTCAGTTCTAGCCTCAGCAGCAACTCAGCAGCAGTAGCCACAATACAAAACCTGAGTGCTGGTTGAGACACAAAAACAATAAAAAGAAAAGAAAAGAAAAGAAAGAAAGACAGGAGCCCAGTCCTTGCAAAGCCCAGTGCTGGAAGGGTACAGAATGTGGAAAGGCAGACCAACACTCTCTCCAAGCGGCATGGAGAAGAAGGTTGCAAGCAGGTTTTTTTGTTTAAATCTTAAAACTGGACTTGGGCCAGGCAGGCATTCGCGCAGAGGGTAGTTCCAAAAATGGACTGTGCTCTGGCAGTCCTTCAGATAAAAGAGGACCTTTGGCCACTGCTTCCTTTGACACGTCCAGCTTTGGCTGCACAAAACTCATTTGTGAATGCTCGTGTGCCTTTGCAGAAACACAGCATTCCCATCCATCCATCCATCCTTTCTTAAAAACAAAACAGCAGATAGACACACCATTTCGGGATGATAAAAGGTTTGCATCAAGAAGCAGACATAGGTTATTTCAGAGAAGAACGGGGCATAAATAATGAACTTGGGAGGGAGCAAGAGAGAGAGAGAGAGAGAGAGAGATGAAAAATGAGAAGATGGCCCTCAACAATGTTCTCATATCAACTCATTCAAATGACTTCACACCGTTTCTCCCAAATACAAGTTTGCAGCCACCTCTCTCTCTTTCCACATGTGATGGAATCTCGCCCTTTTGCTCCGGTCTTTTTTTAGACGCCCCTCTCCCCCTCACGCGGCCCTTCCCGGACTGTTTTAAACACACACAGTCTTGGGCCTTAGCTCAGGCAACCAGGCACAGATGCCAGCTTAGGAACAGGTGCTTCTGTCCACTGATTTATTTATTGGGGGGCCGCCTTCTCCCCTCCCAGAAAGCTGCCTCGCCCAACAAAGAGAGGTGTGTCTGACTACGCTGTGTCCCATGTTAGACAGGTCAAGAATGGGTGTGTCAGAAACAGTGCTTCAGAGTCTTTGGGGGGGGGCATTCAACAGCCTTGTGCAACTTCTAAGTCTTAAAGGGCTTATTTGAGGAATCTACAGTACTTCTTCAGATCCACAGAGTACGATCTCTGGGATTCAACTTCATATGTGCATTTGTAGGGGGTGGAAACAGATTGAAGCCAGATGCACAAAACAGCATTATATTATTGACAACTTTCAAAGAGAAAGCCATGTTGTTCTGTTTTGGCATATGGAACAAACAAACAAACAAACAAAAAGCAGAAAATCATGTTTGTTGTGGGTTTTTCGGGCTCTTTGGCCGTGTTCTTCCTAATGTTTCGCCAGTCTCTGCAGCCGGCATCTTCAGAGGACAGGAGTAGCACTTTGTGAATACAAAAGCAAATCAGTTGTAGGTAGGCAGAGGAAGTTGATTACACATAATTCACAAAATCCCATACCGAAATAAATACTTTTGTTTTGTTCTGGTGTTATATATTATTGACAGTAGGCTGCATTTAATTGCGAATCCCAGTTAGAGTAATTGTTGAATCAAATGCTGCATGGTCAGTCCGCACTTTGGGAAACACCATTGATTCCATTGGGGCTACTTTAGTTGGGATTAGCAACTGGACTTAAGACACCAGGCAGAGGTAATTGGCATAAACATCTATTGTCGTCGCTCTACCCTTGGAATCCTGGGACTTGTAGTTCGTGCAGGGCCTTACATCTACTTTCCACCATTCATTCACCAAAGTACAAATCCCAGGATTGTTTAGGTTGTAGCTGTAACAGGTGAGGTGGTGCCCAGTTCCTGTAACTGCTGATACAGTCCAGAGGCCACATATGAATAATGACTATGCTCGTTCTGAACTACTTGCACATTTGTGGGAAGGTATAATCAAGGCAGCAAAAGCAAAAAGTTATAGTTAAAAGTCTAAGTCCTTGTGTTGGTCAGGATAGGGCTAAACAATGCACATTTTAAAATGTAACTCTTTACTCCACAGTAACTAGAATAACTGCCTTTTAAGTCACAGGGGAAAGCATTTGAATGCTACAAGCCAGGGACACAAAATAAACTCCCCTGACATCTCTGCCTTGCCATCACCTCCACATCCATAATGCCACATGGGACAGCAGCACACGGCCAAACTGTTGTACGGTTCTTCCTCTGCCTGCTAGTGAGGCTTGTTTTTCTAATGATATCAGCAACTAAACCATTCCTGCTCAATTGCAGAAGGAGCAAGGTTATTCCTTGTTAAATTACAACTCACATCACCATATTTCCTGCCCTCAACCAACGGGCCACCAGCTTTTTTGGTGCTGGGATGGAGACCCCCAGAGATTAGGGGAGGTCTCAGAGGGTGAGCTGGAAGGACACAATCCTGCACAGAAAACTTGGATAGGAGCCACTAGCTGCCAATCAAGGTTGCCAATATGGGGCTGCATAGATCAAGACCCCAATTAAAAGTCGGGCCATTTCCTAGACTGTTGTTCATAGTCGTAGGGTGGACAAGTAGGGTGACATGAGACCCGTAACTGCCCTCAGGGAGATCCCAAAGCACCATGCCCCTCACTCAGCTGTACAAGCAGGATGCACCCCACCCCATCAAAGAAAACTCCCTGCGTGCGGACACACACGCTGATACAAGGTGCCAGTTACTAAAATAAAACTAACTGCCTCTGGGATATGCCATTCTGCCCGCTCCAAATTCTCCTTTCGGGATCCAAAATACTACAACCTATTTTTAAAGCCTCTGCTTGGGGGCCTTTCCTTTTGGGGGACAGATCAGGTTGCAGTGCTCAGCTGTTTCAGGTTCCCAGCCCTTGGCCATGTGCTCTCTCTCTCTCTCTCTCTCTCTCTCTCTCTGCCTTTTTTTCCTTCCCACCCCCAATATCACAAGAGAAGCCAGAAAAATGGGGGACATTCGGAACTGATAGCAAAGACGACAGCTTCCCACAGGAGAAATTAGCCCAGGGTGAGATAACCAGAATTGTTTGTTATTTTTATTTATATGCTTCTGAAATGCATTCACAAATGTGTGGTTTAAACCAGAGGAGTGGGGGAGGTAAGGACTTGCTATATCTCCTACGGATAGTCATTGTAAGTGGGCAAGGTCAATCTGCAGTGAGGGAGGGTTAAGCATTCAGTATATGCTCAGAAGCATCATCATTTTTATGGTATCTCAAATCTGTCTCTCCACCAAAAGGGAATGGCCAAAGATGTACGGAGAGGTAGCTCTAAATGGATATCCTAAGGAAGAAGCAGGACTACTAGAAGGGCAGAGAGTCGAGAAAGCTACTTTTAAAGAAGTAATTCATTCTCATTACCTATTGTAGTATTTGAAAAGTAACTCATTGATGCTATTTGTTGTAGTGTTTAAAAAGCAACTCATTGCATTGCTTTGCACATTATTTTAATAACTTTTAAAAAATTAGATTTCATAAAAAAATGGCATAAACCTGTAAAATCCCTGGTGAAAATGTATTTGAAAATGCCACAAAATGACTTAAAAGGTAATTTAAATTTTAAAATACATTTTTGTTACGCACGCAATAGACTAACTTTGCTATCTCTCAGTACATTATCGTTAAAATCTCAGTTTGTTATACCCAGTCTTCATTAACCCCTACCCCCAAATTACAGGTTACTGCATTACTTGTAATTTGTTACTTCTAAGTGTTGTGCATCTTTCTGTGGATACATTATTTTCTCTGAATTATTTTCTCTATTGTTTTCTTTAAAGAAAGTATTTAAAAGGATGATTTGGAAGGTACAGTCTTATCAGAAAGAGAGCATTGGAAAGGGTGAGCTAAGACCATCACCCCCAGGGTGATGATTCTCCTCCTAGCCTTGAGGTTTAGTTGATTTACTCAAAGGCTTTGGGCAAATCAGCTGATCTCAGTTTCCAGGAGATAAAAGGTTTATGTCAATCACTGAAGGGCAGGGCTTTACGCCAAATCCCGCAAGGGCTTCTGTATAACACCCAGTTGTGGCTTGCACATAAGCTGTGGATCAGGACTGGCCCTACCGTTGGGTGTTGTGCAGCAGCCACTTCTGGTGGTGCATGTTAAAAAAATGAAGCGGGTAGCAAACACAAAGCCATTCTCTGTGAGCCCTCCAGAAATTCTCTGGATACATTGAGAGACCTCATGGACTACTGAGTTGCCGTGTTGTGAGTATTGAAGTTAAGAATCAACTTCCTAGATCAAGTCACAGTCTGTATCACATGATGCAATAGCAAAAATGCATAGGATGCTATTGGGACGGCAGTGGGTATGGGATGTTCTTAGGAAAACCTTTTGAGAAAAATCCCACTGAGCCGCCTGTGGTGAACAGGATAGATATTGTGAGGGTGCTGATAACATGTAACTTCACTCATTTGGAAGCTCTGCAACTGAGTAATTATGAACAGTTTGTATTTTATCTTACAAGAGGGTTTAACCCTTCAAGGGATCCAAAAGCAGAGCCAGGGGTACCAGCTTGTGACAGCCCCTGAGTGACGTGGCCCCACAGGGTCCTCGCAGTGGTGGCAAGTGGTTATTGGACTCTTGTCCATCATAGATCTGTGTGTTCCCACCCTATTTTCGCTTTTCTCTAACCAGTTACCTATATGATCAAGTTTTGAGGGGACAAGTATTTTATTCTCCTCTTGTTGTTGCTTATTTATACTGCTTTTATTGCAATTTAGCAGTATTAACATATTAATTCTGATGCTTGCCATTTGTAATTTGCAATTTCTGTTGTGTTCTTTATATGTAGCCCACTGGCAACCCTAAGGTCTTGAAAGCACAGGGTATAAAATGAATGAAATCATCATCTTAATCACAAACATGCCAGCAATTGCAAATTGGGAAAATGGCAGAAGTGCTATAATATGGCAGGGAACTGCATGAACTGTCACGCTGATGGTTTATGATTCCTGCCAAAAGGATTGCTTAGCTACACCTGCCTTTTACTGTGCATTCTTGGGAAAGGAAATCAGCTTCCAGCCAACTGCTGTGAGAACATATGTTATTGTGCAAGGATCAATCGGCTGATCATTAGCTGCCCAGGCAGAAGCGGCAGGACCAAAGTTTCATCGGGGTCTACAGCTGATACACTTCATGGATAAAGCTGTCGCAACCCTGGTTGGGAAGCCTATGGCTCTAGAAAACCCCTGAGAGTGGGGGTTAGAAATGTAGGGTGTGTGTGTGAAGAAAATGCCTGTCTGTAGGACAAAAGAGAAGACAAAAATACTATCAAACACCCCCACCCATTTTGGGTTGAACTAAACAATATTTTTATCCACGAAGGCTTTCATGGCCGGGATCTAATGGTTGTTGTGGGTTTTTCGGGCTCTTTGGCTGTGTTCTGAAGGTTGTTCTTCCTAACGTTTCGCCAGTCTCTGTGGCCATGGGCATCTTCAGAAGACAGAACTCTGAAGATGCCGGCTGTCCTCTGAAGATGCCGGCCACAGAGACTGGCGAAACGTTAGGAAGAACAACCTTCAGAACACAGCCAAAGAGCCTGAAAAACCCACAGCAACCAATATTTTTATCATTTTCTGCTGCTGGTGGTGCAGCCACCCATAAGTAGTAAAAGACATACAGTTTCTCATAGCATTTATATTTTATCACCTCCATATCTTGTCTTTAGTGAGCTTTATTCTGTGATCAAATCATGGGCAGATAAGTAATTTGCAAGTCCAGTTGCTCAGGCATCTAATTTTTAAAGAGATCCAGTTATGGGAAGGAAAACATATTGATACTGGGAATACACATTCCTATTGACTTTTCCTGGGGTGGGGGGGGGAGAAAGATCAAAATGAACAGGGTGAAGCAGAAGAGGAGGGTCATCTCTTCTAGCCCAGCAATCAATAAAAATGTTACTGTGACCAACTGCAAGAGGAACAGGTGTTTTGCTGGCATGAAACCGATCCCTGCCAGTCTTCCTGTACCAAGCTCATTAGCGTGACTGTGGAGGTGTGAAAAATGGAGGCAGTGGTGCTGAGAATCATCCCACCTGTCTTCCTGAAGGCCAGAAAGCTTCACTGCTGGCAAAAACATGACACCAGCCAGCCTGAGAAATTTGCAAATTTCCACCGGGTCACTATGCAGACTTTCTCTCTTCTTCTTTAGATATTCAGTTTTCTCTCTAAAGAAGAAATGCTGACATTGAAATATGCCTTTCACTTAGTTCAACAAAGCACTGCCGGAACCTGGGAAAGTTCTGGGTTTGATCCACAGTTCCCAGAATCCGTCACTGACCATGCTTCCAAAGCAGCTTACGGGTGTGTGGGGATTCTTGGTTGAGACTAAAGCCAATTCTTAGGAATTCCAGCTTCTACTTATAGGCTGCCAGTCAAAATTTACCAAAAATGCAATTCAAACGTCATGCTGCAAAGCTGAATTTTCTTTTTTCTTTCTTTTTGATTTTGGAGACTAAAAGAGTGAGATTACACTCGAGAAATTGGAGTTATGGTCTAGAAAGTTTGTGAGGCACATACAGTACACAAACCAACATTTTGTAGCCCACAGGATTTATTATAGACCTTGTGTTTTTGCATTTCTTTCTTCTCCAGAGAACTGAACCAGTGAAATCCAGGGAGTAGAGGAGAGGTTTGGGTGACTAGGTCTTATAACCTCTGGATGGATTGGAATGGGGGAAGCCACCTACTCCACGAGGTCATGCCACTCCATAAAACCCGGATTCTTCATTAAAACACTCCTCCTTCTCCTGTTCTTTAGACATGGTAAGGCCAGGGGGGATGGCTTCGTGACTTCAATTTGGTGTGGTCTTTGTTTAAAGCTGTTTTAAAATTGGAGAGCAATGTGGCATCATCTATATTTATTAATTGTTGTCATGGCGTGCATGCCTGGTGTGGCCTCTGGTTGCATATCACAATAAGCGATGGTATGTGTTCAGTATTGTCTGTTGTTTAAGCCATGAATTGCACAGAAGTTGAATGAACTAGCTTTTCTTCCTCAGTTAGCTTTAATGCTCTTCTTTTGGTATTGGTCAGTGCTGGTTTAGGATAGGTAGCTAGGAAAACACTCCAGGGATAAACCAGACTTCCTGGTTTAAGCTATGATTTAAACAAACCATAATTCAGAAGCCAACAAGACATAGGTTCAGCTGGTGGTTAGCGGCTAGTTGGTAAACCACAGCTTGTTAGTAGAAATAGGTCTGCACATCACAGAAAGCCAAATTTCAACAAATTGAACCATTTCTTGTGAAATGTGAACACTTTTTCTATACAGAAGATACAAAGTGACTAGTTGGGTGGGTAACCCTAGAAAGGAAACTCCAGGGAGTGGGAATTCTGTGTCACACTTTGATCCAAAATAAGAGGGATAAATATCAGGAAGGAGACATTCTGTTAAAATACGTAGGGCTCAGGTAGCTCATGAAAAAATGTTTGGTATTTATCCTATGGTTACTTTGGAAAGAGAAGAGGGGACAAGTTGCCAAAGATGTAACAATTTACCTACTGTTACCCTAAATACTGCTCTTAACTTCTGAGAGTTAGAAATGAAAAGAGCTGGCTGGGAATTGGGGAACCAAATGGTATCTCTTGGAGGTAAAAAGATTTGTGCTCTTTGCAAGCATATTTTCGGAGGAGGATAAGCTGCAAGGCTGGCCAAACAACACACTCAAAATGAGAATGCATGTTGATTTCCATCTTCCAGTATCTTCCAACTGCAAGATCTTGCGCTGCAACTCCGAGTATGTGGCCTCCACCCTTAACTTGCGTGGTCCCAACAAGAACGCGGCCTACTGCAATGCCTTGCGCTCCTACTCCCGCTGCACCCGCAGGACAGCCCGCACCTGCCGTGGAAACTTGGTGTACCACTCTGCCGTCCATGGCATCGAGGACCTCATGATCCAAAACAACTGCTCCAAGGAGGGTCCGACCTCACTGCCACGGCCTCCTGTGCCGGCACCCAACCGCCAGACCTTCGCCTCCCTGGACATCTGTGACTATGAGAAGAGTTTTGCCTATAAGCACGGCAGGCCCCCCACCTATCAGCACTGTAGCACATTTGGGGACCCTCACGTGCGGACTTTCCGTGATGAATTCCATACATGCCGGGTAGAGGGTTCCTGGCCCCTCCTCGACAACAACTACTTGTTTGCTCAGGCGACAAGTTATCCTGTAGCAAAAGGATCAAATGCCACAGCAACCACCAAGGTAAAAGCTGTTTCTTGAGTGAATAGAAACGGAGGTTAGAGATAGCCTGTAGTTAGAGCTCAATGCATGTTAATGCTGCAGAAAAGTGACGGGAGGCAGTCTTTCAGTGTTTCTCTAATCATCATTTCTGGCCTAAGGCTAGTGTGTTTTCCCCCAAGGTGCTCCTTTTAATTTGGAGAGATAAAGTACTGTAGCTGGAAGCACATTGGTGGTATCAGGACAGAGGGCCTTCAACGGGACAACTCCCTGCAGAGATAAGTTGTGGCATCAGTCCCCTCTCTGTTGTAATATTGCTGGCAGGCAAACATCTGATTATTCGGGGAAGACTTCAGATATATGCTAGTCTCTTTCAGAATGGACCTTTTACTTATTTCCCTCTTGCTTTTAAGTTGTGTCTTAAATTGATTCCCCCCCTTTACATTTTAAGAGTTTCTTTTTCATTTGTATTTTATTATGGACTTCACTTGCCAGCCACTTTAAGCTTCATTGTTTTTGTTTGTTTGTTTGTTTTATAAAAGAAAGGTTTGAGATAGGCAGATGAAAAAATAGGGGAGGATAGTGTGGGTCTCGGTTCTTCCTACTCTTCGGGAAGCCTGGGAAAGTTGAAGAAGCTGTTTCCCTTACAGGCCTCTCATTTGCTCATAGGCTGATTACTGTCTTCCTCAAAACTGAAAAGTAAACAAAAGGATCTGGCCCAAGAAGAGGAGGAGTTCTTGTCTGAGAATAGTACATTTTACTCTAGGGGAGAGAGCCCAATTCAGTCAGTTGTATTAAAACAAACAACTCAGTTTAACTCAATTTAAAAGCACCTCAGAGGAAAAGGAACAATGACAGTGCTGGTCTGTTAAAAGTCCCTTTACAAGCAGGCAGCCCATCAATTGCCAAAGGATTCCTGAAATGAAAAGCTATTTGGCTGTAGGAGAAGGACAAGTGGGTAGGACCCTACCTAACTTCCCTCAGCAGGGAGTTCCGCAGCCTAGGAGCAGCCACAAGGAAGACCATTTCTCATACTGGCCTCAGACATGCCCATGAAGTTGGCCATACCAAGAAGAAAGTCTCCCGTGGGTATCTTCAAACTGGGGGAGGCTCATAATGGGAGAGATGCTCTTATAGACAGGGCTGGTCCCAAGTCTTCCTCCTCTCTTTTCTTTTCAGCTTACCATCATCTTCAAGAACATGAGGGAGTGCATTGACCAGAAGGTCTACAAGGCAGAAGTAGACAACGTGCCAGCAGCTTTTGAGGATGGGTCAGTGAACGGAGGTGAGAGGCCTGGAGGAAACAGCTTGAGCATCCATGAACGCATGCCTGGGCAGCATGTAGAGATCCAAGCCGCGTACATCGGCACCACCATCGCCGTGCGCCAGGCAGGGAAGCAGCTTTCCTTCTCCATAAGAGTGGCTGAGGAGGTGGCCCAGTCCTTCACAGAGGAGCAGGACCTCCAGCTGTGTGTGGGAGGCTGTCCCCTCAGCCAGCGCATCTCTCGCAGCGAGTGCCCCTGCAGCGATGGCACCATCAATGCCCAAAAGGCCCAGAGGTTGTGCAAGGAGAAATTGCCAGTAGAGGACATCTACTTCCAGTCCTGTGTCTTCGATGTGGTGACCTCAGGTGACGCCAATTTCACGCTGGCAGCCCGTGGTGCTTTGGAAGATGCCAAAGTATTCCTCCCAGATGCAAAGAAACTTCACCTCTTCCAATCTGGTGCTGCTTCCTGGAGCAGCAGCTCATCCATCTTTCTCCTCCTCCTCTTCATACCTATTGTTTCTATTTTGCAGCAGCACTTTTAAAAGTCCTTATGAACTAGTGGTTAGTTTGTGCTATGATGGTGGACAAGGCTCAGTTCGCTGGAAGGGTGGCATGGGCACTGTGAAAATACATGATCTAGATCTGAATATAAGAGGATGCGGGGTTTCGGACTGCAAGTTAAGGAAAATGCACATTTCTTGTGGTTACAATGTTTTTCCACTATGCACATCATTCCTTCCAAGTTCCATGCCCAAGCAATCAGACTGGGAAGTGAAAGTTGTCTTTGCCTCCCAAAGACCGATCACAGAACAAAAGTAACATGCGGAGTGAGGTAAATTCAAGCTAGATTTCCCCCCTTAAAACAGCTCCACTTTTAATGATCTGTTAACTGTATTATGTAATTATTACCTCAGTTAACTCTGAATAAGTGGAATTTAGGGATGGGCTGAGATTAAATCAACAGCAGACACCCTGGGCTTTCAAAGTATTTGGGAGAAAACTTCTGAATGTACAAAACCTGTATAATTTGCAACAACTGATATCTTATTGAAGACTTGTAAAACCATGAAGGATAATAAATTAAGAAGTTAAATATTTAATATATTAAAGTTGAAGAATTTTAAAAGAAGCTAGCCACTTTATTGGTTACTACGTAGTAGTCATTATCTCCCACAAAGACTGTGAATTATTGGTTACTATTATCAACTGTCATCAACCACTGCTGATTAGTGCTAATGGAAGCCAAGAAAATTAGAAATCCAGACTTCTAATGAGTCTGGAGTGTGTACATGTGTATAGCATGCTACCAGCAAAATCTGGAAGCATTTCAGTGCTCTGATTCTCTCAATCCACAAATAAAAAATGGATAACCGCCTGTCAGATCTGCTTTGATTTGGATTCCTACAATACGCATGGGGTTGGACTCAATGGCCAATTCAATTCTATTCTATGATTCTATGAAAACCCTTTTAATGGGCTTAGCTTCTCTCTGAGAATGTGAAACTTCTTATGAAAGTAGTCCTCTACTACAAAGCAAAATCCCAGTCTTACTTTTGGGGATGCTAAATTGTTAAAACCAGCTTATCGGATGCATAGGGTGAGTTCCAGAAAAAAGTTCCTACATTTCTGTATGCGGAAAATGAAAGAGCATAGAAGGTTGAAAGGAGAACTTGGAAGTAATAAAAAGTTTATAAGCACAACAAAACGGGAGAGAAGACCATGTTGCCTTTCATCTCTACATGTAAATAAGACTCTTTTAGAGTAACAAGGGCATAACAATGTTATATCTCAAATGTACTGTAAAAAGTGGGAACAAAGCAATTTTACTGGTAGAATGAATAATGTTTTCTGGTTATGTTTAAAGGACATATTTGGCATTTTTATAGGCATTTAGGGGGGATTTTTAGGAAGTTTAATGCCATGCTCTAATCAATAATAAGGGCTTTATTTAAAATAAAAGTAACTAGAAGTAAAAAGTAATGAAGCAGTTAATTACTTAACTGTAATCAGTAATAGCAAACACTACAGTGAAAATCAGGAACAAATTGCTTTCTAAAAGTAATTTTCAGAAAGTGAGAGGAGTGTACTTATTAACACAACAGAAGTGGTTTATAGAACCTTTATCGTCTCTCCAATCCTATGAAGTCCCTTTCTCTGCTGTTAGCAGTAGCAGCCTCTGAATTGCCTGTATGTTGGCTTTGCTAATCCACAAGCGTTTGGCATTAAAATACATCTATTTTTGAAGCCCTCATTTCCTGTCATCTGTTTCTCATATGAGTTGGCTAGTTTGCAACAGGTGAGACTAAAAATAACTTAGATGGCCCTCCTCTTCTACTCCAAAACCCAAATATGTATAAAGAGGAGTGTTAGGGGTTCAGCACAAGGCTGGACGGGGTGGGAGTCAGATGTCTCCCCATAAACCTTCCCTCTTCCCGGCTTGGGCCCAATCCAGCACATCCTGAGTAACATCCTGTACAATTTTTCCCTTCTTGTGCTATGTTTTTGATAGGGGCAGCCCCAAACATGTGAATCTAAGCTTAAAGTCTTAGCCCGGCAGCGTAGCCCTTCAAGGAACTTCTAACTCTTGCAAGAGGTTTTAACACAAAGCCAAGGTGCCTTTTTAATATTGTATTTTGTTGGGCTTTCCATGTTTGGCATCAAATATACTTTATGTTCCTGTCTCTACAAAACTAGTGTCCTTCTGTGGTGAGCACACAGAAACACAAACACAAACACAGACACACACACACACACTCCAAGTACAACAGGACAGACTGACGGATTGCAAAGACCCAAGTAACCCACGGAATGCTACTAGTTTATGGAATAAGGCAACCATTATGGCCTTTTTCTAATTTTGTGCAAAAACTACTTGAGAAATGTGTGAATGAATTCCAGGACTATCGCAACAGAAATCTTGTTGTCTTGCAGTGACTGATGTTGGGGAGAAATGCATTTTAGCTGTCTTGTTTACTGCTCAAGGATGAATCAAGAAGGATCTACATTCTTTCATGGACTCTAGTCTACCTCATCAGGTGCTTGCAGCTGAAGAAGTAGGTAACAATCCACAAAAGCTTATTTTCTAAATATTTCTGAAACACTGATTGCCCCAAAATATATCCAGAACAATAAGAGCTAGCAGTATGCAGTTTCACACAGAGACTACTGATTGCCCAAATTAAATAAGTGAATTGGTTTTAATTTGCAACTGGCTTTTCTAGGGGCCCAGCTGCACTCCTTCCTTCTTGGGCAAAGCTCTTTTTCTCTCTCTCTCTCCTGAAAACCCGGGCTCCCAATTCAGCAGCTGTTTCCTGTGTTACCGCTAGATGTCGCAAAGAAATAAAAATTGGTTGCAGTGCCTTGTTGACAGCTGATGGAAAGACTGGACCAAGGATTTGGACACCAGGATGAAAGTCCCTTCCTAGTTATGGAAACACTTAACACTGAAATGAGAGAGAGAGAGAGAGAGAGAGAGAGAGAGAGAGAGAGAGAGAGAGAGAGAGAGAGAGAGAGAGAGTGTGTGTGTAACAGTACACCACTTCCTAAGTACATTATATATATGGAAATCAGAAATACTTGCCCACAACCTGTTTTGAGAGGTTTTAAAAAGAGCTTATTATAAACATTTTTTTAAAAAACCCTTACACAAGTCCATCTTTAGAAAAGGGTTAAGCCTCCCATACGTCACACCAACCACCACTGCAAGAGGGACTGTGTGCCATGAGACAGCATGCTTTAAAAGTCTAAGAACGGAATCATCATCTAGAATAACAATAATGGACACAAGCCATGATGGAAAGCAGACACTGAGAGTGCAGAAGAAGTTTGTAACATCCTAAATAGTCCAAAGTGTTCCAGGATTTCACTGGGAGGTTTCTGTTGGATGCCCTTCTGCCCTTTGTGTCCACAATGCCTGTCCTCTCTCTGGATTTCCCCATCCATGCACCAAGGTCGGGTTGATGGGAAATAAAAAGGCAGACAGCCAAAACCAGAAAAGATTCGGCATTTCTTCCTCTTTACTTTGCTGCCCCTGAATTCTGCCTTTGGAAACTCCAAGGAAGCGGAGTTGCTTGAGCAGGTGAGTTAGGAAAAAATTTCCCCTCTCCCCCTCCCCACCCATGCTGTACTGTATAAATTTAGGCTAACAACTCCCAAACACTGGAAGTTGTTCTTTCTGTAGGGAGAGCACAATAGCCCATCAGGTGAGCTTTCTGACCGAGTAGAAACAAATGAGATATGGATTCCCAAAATTTATTCTGCAGTGCCCTGCCTTGCTGTCCCTTATACTGTCTGCCGTTTTCTGCCATGCATAGTTTTATTTTTGAGTTCTGCCGGAAATGCATTCAATGGATTTACAGACTATTCTGCCCTTGTATCTGGAGCAAAACCTTAGAAAACAATTTTTAAAAATTCTCTGTAGAGCAGCAGACTTTTCAAGAGTCAGATTCAAGAGCTGAAATCTTAGTTTTGCTCTCCACAACTGACTGTAAAAAGGACTCTTAACAGAGACTTAAGCCCATTTCCATTCTGGGACATGTTGCTTTTTCTCTTTTTTAAAAAACATTTTGTACTGTCCCCCTCATGGATTTTATAAAAATTTATACCTACTGGGGCTATTCTCCATACATCTGATGCAGCAGTCTGGAGTCTATGAAAGCAGATGCCAAATAAAACACACCACGTTTTAAAGTGCAATGTTGTTCTGTTGTAACACAGTTACTCCTCTCTCACCAGAAATATCTGCACTGTTGGTTATTGATCCAACCTTCACCAAAACAAATTACTGTTACCAATAAACAGTTTCAAAATTCAAACCAAGAAAACATCACAGTCAGTTTTAAAAGTATTTTCATTCAAAAGAGAAGCAGGAGATTCAAACTGTCCATATAGATCTTATTTGTTTGTGGCTGTGGGCATACTTATGATTTGAATAGATTTCTGCTGAAACTTTTTAAAAATCAGGTTCAAGTCTCATTACTGTATATTCAAACCAGTGGCCACATTCACATGAACTAAATGGAAATTGATTTATTTATGGCGATTTAAACCAGTTTTGGCATCTACACTGCTGAAATCAATTCATTTTCACTAAAACCACATTGAATTACTTTACTTAGAGCAGTCTGATTATTTCTGTCTGCTGTCCTGAGTTACAGGCGTTACAGAAGAGGTGGCTTGCTTGCTTACGGGCAAGACGGATTCTTACAAAACAGATCTTTGATCTTTCTGCACAGAAAAATGAAGGGGCTTGTGGTTGTCCTCCTCTGTGTGGCTGTGTTTCCTAGAGGCCACTGGTGTGGTAAGTGTGGATGTGTGTTGTTTACAATGCACAACAACAATAACAGCAATCATATAATGGTGAAATCCACAAACTAATTTTCAATTGAATTCTTACGTGCCACAGGACATACAGTAAATGCTCTCACTCTTCCTCTTTTTCATAAAATCCTCAGTTCTTCCTATCTAGCCTTATAATTACTGCCCTCTGCACAGATATCAATGGCTGTGTTACCTCACTGAAGCGGGACATCCTGAAGTTGATGGTGAAATGGGAAGATGCTACTTGTCTTCAGAACCAGCAAGGCCTGCCTCCGAACCTCCTCCAGACTTTGCCTCGAAGCTGCAAAGAAATCAAAACAGCATTAGAAGGAGCTGCAGGTGGGGTGAGCTACAACAGGAATCTGTTAGATAAAGACTCACTAATAAAAATAATGTATTGATTCACATTTTGCTGACAATGAGGGAAACATTAATCTTTGGGTGGAAATACTCTTACAAGGAGTGGGATCCATCACAGTCCCTTCCAGAAATTAGAATAATGTGGAGAAGGATAGCTCCATATCATTGTGGTTCTCTATCTGGGGTCCTAGAGATGGCAGCTGCTATATTTGCTTTTGTCAATGGAAGTAAATATTTGACTCACACAGTATCCTGAATATTCCTGTCCTTGGGGCAAACAGGCAATTCATTGATCACAAGGGTTTTGCAGAGACTCAACTTAGACTTTATGGCAAGCTGTTTCCCTAGGACTGGTTTGCCTCTTGTGGTGTGATATGCTGAGACTTGCATCTCTGGGGAATCAAACGTGCAAGTTAAGTTTGCAGTTACATGCCAGTGACCAATATGTAGATCCCGAAAAGCTCGGTGCTATGCCAGATGGATACTTTTGATATTTGAAAATGAGTTAATTGTAAGAAACACACATTCCCCATAATGTCTAATTTGAGTCTTCAGCCTGTTGCCCAAATGAAATCAAAGTCAACCTTCTCAACAGAGCAAGACTTATGACTTTCAAAGCCTAGGGTTGTTGTTTTGTTTTTAAACAGATGGATTGTATTTCCTGAGCACAGAAGATGGTGAGATATACCAAACCTTCTGTGACATGACTACCCATGGAGGAGGATGGACACTGGTGGCCAGCATCCATGAGAACAACATCTATGGAAAGTGCACCTTGGGAGATCGTTGGTCTAGCCAGCAGGGGAACAATGCTAATTACCCCAATGGTGAAGGTCACTGGGCCAAAAACTCCACCTTTGGAACAGCTGTAGGCTCAACCAGCGATGACTACAAGGTGAGGCTGTAGACTCACTAGACCTTGACAGGCAAATGGAGCGGTTCCCCTGGCCTTTTTACTTCGTTTGCCAGCCCATTCCTCAAATTAAGATTTCAGTCACCAAATGACCGTTTACCAACGCTTGCTAACCAAAGACTGGGGGGCTCTCTAAGGTTGTCCAATTTTAGCGACACATAAGTCAGAAGATAGATTAGGGGGCAATGTTTCAAAAAGAGGCTCACCAGCTGGATAGCTAAATCTAAGGACACAAAGAGTGCAATGCACTGTTTGAGAGCGTCACGAGCCTTTAAATGTTAAGAAATGAGTTAGTTACTTCAGACAAACCCAAAGCTACTTTGAAGGGCCTTAGGCAGACATGATGATGGGGTTGTAGTCACTGCTCCCTATGTGAATTCATGCCCACATGCTCTGAGAACTTCAGTGGGATGAATAGGTGGGGCTCAAGGTCTTCTTAACTTAGAGAGATGCAACTTCTCAGAGTTTTTTTCTTTGCAGAATCCTGGCTACTATGATCTTCAAGCACAAGATATGGCCATATGGCATGTTCCCAATAACAGCCCCATGAAGGAATGGCGTGATGCTGCCATCTTGAGGTATCACACTGAAACCGGCTTCTTCAATGTAGAAGGAGGGAACCTTCTCAGGCTCTATCAGGTATTTTCCAGATGGCTAATATTTGAGATAGTAATGGTAAAACTAGATGTTAAGAGGAATGCATATTCAATTAATCAATTTTTACCTCTTATAATGGGATTTCATCTGAGATCCATGCCTTGACAATCAGACTTGCAAACTAAGGTGTGTTTACCTTCTAACAACCAATTGGGAAACAAAGCATGCTAAATGCAAGGTGTGGGGGTGAAGAAAAAACATATTTTTAAAAATATGTTAAGTGCATTGTCTATTTGACTTTGAGGGCTGCAGTTAGTCAGGAGCCCTCATACAAAAAAGATGGAATCCAGTTAAATGTCTCAGAAGCTGGGAAGCCGAACATACCCATTAGGAAGTATTTAGCCTGGATGGGTAAATACTGGGACTTATCTATTCTGGCGGGAAATGCAGCAGCCCATATCTTGTCATTGAATTTTAAATAACACCAGCCAAAGATGCAAGTCTCAGCAAAATAAACTAGACAATATACCGGTATTCATGCAGGATTCTATACAAGCATTTACAGTATCTCAAAACCTACAGAAAGTCTTAAGAAACCTTAAGTACCATTTTATTCAGACTAAGCTCTCATGGATTGTCATCTGCTTCATTAGAGGTATCAACCTGCACTCCATTAAACTTTTATGTCAAATAAAACTTGTTAGTCTTTAGGTGCAACAAAGCACTGTTGTTTCTCCTGTAAAAGGCTGGGTTTAATCTTCCAATGGCAAATCAGAAAACAAAGCAAGCTAAACTGAAGCTGTAAAGGTGAATAGCTTATAGCCACTTAAGCATATCAGGGACTCACAACATGGGATGCTGATCCTCTTTTCCCAGACGATGTTCTTCATAGCAACCTTATGTCCTTTATTAGGCATGTCTCTACAATTAGATAAAGAAAAACGGCCCTTACACTCCAGGTATAGTTCCAATGAATTATAATGTTTTTCCATAATTACACCTTTTTTGACAGTTGAGACACCACTGCTTCTAGACAGGGGAATCAGGATTCCATCTACCAGTACCTAAGCCATATGTTTGCATTCAAGTTCAGGCACACATAAGGACTCACACCACTGAGGCTTCACCTAATTTGCTCTGCCTGATTAAGCTAGACAAGGCAAACTATTTTTCACTTGCTATTTCTTTTCCAGCAATACCCAGTGACGTATGGCATTGGCTCCTGTCCGGCTAACAATGGCCCAGTTGTACCTGTTACATATGATTTTGGTAATGCTCAGCAGACATCCTTCTATTACTCTCCAAATTCCAGACGTAAGTTGGCTCCTGTGTTTGTCATGTCTAAGTGTCCCATGGATTTAACAAAAACCTGGTGTCAGCTTGAGTAATTCTATTAGAGAACCACAAGAAACTGCAGATATCTGTAATAATCAGACAGCAATATTGTCGACTTGCAAGGTGGCTAAAATAACTGTAATTTGATAATGCATAAAATGTTTTGAATATCTTTTGAATATGCGTACCCTCTTACCATAGACTTCATAATGTTCCAGATTATCTTAAGTTGACCTCCTCCCTTCTCATTTATTTCCCATGTCTCTTCTAAATCTTTTTGAAATTTTTCAATTAGGTTTGGGTGCCTAAAAATATTTGTATCAATTTCCCACCTGTTTACCTCCTTATAATCACATTTAAACATCAATTCCATATTTACTCTGGCATGGTCCGATATTTGTATGACTTCAATACCTGTATCATTTACCCTAGGCAGTAAGTCTTTAGATACAAATATATAATCTATTCTTGAATATGTATTATGCACCTGTGAGTGAAAGGAGAATTTTCTTTCATCACCTTTTAATTCTCTCCATAAATCTTTCAAATCTGTTTTATTTATTAATCTATTTAATATTGTACATTTAATTTTCCCTTCTCCATTTCACAACTTTGTCTTTCTTCAAATCCATTACCACATTAAAATCACCTGCTAATATCACAGAACCTTTCCTGAATTTATCCAACCTTCTCAATATATTTTCAAAAAATTCCTCCTGTCTCTCGTTAGGTGCATAAATCTTTTGAATATTTTAAGCTTCTCGCCAACATGGCCACGATTCCTGCCATGACAGTTAATGTAGCATCAAACCACTGCAACTGCTTAGTGTAAATATATTTTTATTTATGTTTTTTTTTAAAAAAGCCTTGTTTTCTCAGGTGAATTTGTTGCTGGCTTCATCCAGTTCCGAGTGTTTAATCATGAGAAAGCTGCTTTGGCTCTCTGTGCTGGGGTTAAAGCCACCGGTTGTAATACAGAAACCGTAAGTAGCTAGACCAAAGGTCAGCAGGCAAAACAATTTGGAGCCTGCTTGTTTATTTAGTCCTGTAGCATGGATGACCTGGCTCTTGTGCCTAGCCTCTCTCTATTTCCCCTTTTTTAGTTCTGCGTTGGAGGAGGAGGCTATATCCCAGAAGGCGCTCCCCGGCAGTGTGGCGATTATGCTGCCTTTGAGTGGGATGGCTATGGTACACACACCGGCTGGAGTGTTTCCAAACAGTTGTTGGAATCTGCAATGCTCATCTTTTATCGATAAGTGTGGGAAGGGCAGTAATCAAAAAAAATCAGAGCTGCATCCCAGAATGGTGGAAATTTCTTGCTTCTAGTGTTTTTGCAAAGCTTATGAGGCCAATAAAAATGTGAATAATATCAGCCTTCCGAGTCAGTGACATTTACTTCTTGCTGGGATAATCTTGTTAGTCTGATCAGATGTCAGCCTCGTTAAAACTTTAGGCTGCAGATTTATGCAGCATTAAATGGTTTAAGGCTGCCAGCTCAGTGGCATCACAATGCCTGAGATTTTAAGGCTAAAACTGAAGACTGGGCATGTTCTTGTGAAGTCACAAAGCCCAAGGTAGGGTGGTTGGGAATAGGATGGCTTCAAATTCAGGGATATCAGGCTCTGGAAGTTGTGGGGTGGGTGGGAGCCCAGTAAATGAGCCCAAAATCTATGTAAAATACAACTAACCAGGTAATATATTATGAAGTCGGAAGTGAAAATGTTTTTTTCTCTTATATTTTTAACAATATTTTTTATATTCCGGGGTCGGGGTAGGGCTTGACTGTTTTCTTTTATGCTGGAAACTGCCCAGAGCAATGGCAAAGCCACTAGATGGCGTGGTATAAAAATATAATAAACAAATAAAATATACAGTATTTTGGTATCAGCCAAGGAGCAAAATGCAGCAGAAGCTGGTAGAGCAGCTACCGCCATTCCGGGGAGAGTTTCTGTTCTTCAAGGCCTCACCTTGACATACATACCTTGGCATACATAGCACAGGGATGTTTTTCTAGGCTCTGGGCTGGTGCAGCTATAGCTGGTGGACAGCACATCACCAGCTCACAAACATTTTCTAATAATAATTTAACTTATTGTCATTGTAAGTACCATATACATGGTATACCCATAAAACAAAATTCACACAGGCAACCAGAGACCAGACCCACATTCTTCCAGAGGGGTAAACTGTTTCCTCAACAGGAAAAGTGTTTTCTGCTTAAATAGGCCTACTTAGACCCCAGCTAATCTCTTGCTTGCAGGTGTTCCATAAAATAATAAATACCTATGTGACATCAAGCTGATTTTGACTTATGGCCACCCTTTCCAGGGTTTTTTAGGTAGAAGGACAGAAGGGAGGTTCCATTCTATAGTAACAGGGGGCTGGATTAGAAAGGCTTTTGGCTAGATCCAACACATTCATTTCCAAATCCATTCACTTCATGTCACTGTTATTTGGATGAAGGATTCACAAGGACTAGAACCTTGGGTTGCTCTTTTCCTGGCAACTGCTGTGCCTCTGGATGGGTTCAGTCTCCCTTTCCAAAAAGTTTCAGTTGTTGTTTTGTCTAGTTTTCTTAAGAAAGCAGTAGATTTAAGAGTTGTTGTGGGTTGAGGTATAAACAGGTTTTCAGAGGTGTGTGTGTGTGGGTGTGGGTGTGTGTGGGTGTGTGTTAGCAATGTTGATAGACACACATACTTGATGTTTTACAGGTGAATTATATTTTCCAACCTTCTCTTCAACCACAACCAACCCTCGACATTTACAGCATGGGGGGAACCGGTAGTGAAACAGAAAAAAGCTGCTGATCTGAAGCAAAATCTCCTTATTAGGTTTTTAGAAATTACATACCTATCTGCCGATTTCCTCATTGTGGTTTAGAAAATATCACCTTAAACCAACTCCCCTTCTTCCAGGCAAAAATGTTACTTTCTCCATTAGATAAGAGAGAGCCCCTAACTAGGAGGAAAACATAATACAAAAGAAAATAAGTAAATAAACAAATTAAAACCCCAAACACTATTTTGTGATTTCTGCAAAAGGGTTATTTACTCTTCTCTCTGTCCTTTTTCTGTTTTAAAGCATCCAAACTACACTCGAATGACTGATATCTCTACCAGTGTTAGGCAGCTTTCCTATTGGCTATAGGATTCTGGGAGATGTAGTCCAAACCAGTGTCATTTGCTTAAGATTGGTTTTCCTCTGTCCACTCTTCTCTCCTTATTTTGCCAGGGTTGTCATTGCAACCAGGCCCAGCCACTATCCTCAGTGCCCTGAATTATGTGTGTTTGTGTTTTTGAACTACAACACCCAGAATTCCCCAGGAAGCATTACCTGGGGAATTTGGGGAGTTGTAGTCCCAAAACACAAATTCACAATTTTCTACCAGGTAGCATTGCTCTTCCTCATTATTATTTTTAATTACAGTTGCATTTTTAATCTAATCTTTCCATGCTAAACCAATGCATAATTCAGGTTGCAAACGTCATAAATCAGAACAAGGAAAAACAGTTGAGGATTTTTACACCACAAACCTGCCTGCAATATATTTCCTTTTTTTTGGGGGGGGGGGGAAGTGTCAGAAAAATATCACAAAATGCCATGTATTAATTTTTTTAACTAAACTATGGAATTAAAAATAGCTTGGTGTTACTGAGGAAAAAGAGTAGAAATTGCCCCTTTGGACTTAATTTTGTTTTTTAAAGGTTTCGGGTTCATGCCCTCATTCATTTCCGTCAAAAATGTATCAGTGAAAGCTAGAAAAGTATACTGTACTTTGTAAAGCAGTAACTGAAAAACAAACAAAAGATAGCAAATATTGACCTTAGATATATACTGTATGCAGCAGTAAAGCACGTCTGTGTTAAAAAAAAGAAAGGCTTAATCACCTAATTTTCTCTACTTCGCCCTGTAAATACTGTACAAGAATGTGCCAAGACTTACTACAGGCTGTAAGGATTATCTTTTGAAGGCTCCAGCTCCCCCTTTTAAAAAAATAAAATAAATTCAGAGGCACTCCTGCTTCTGAAGGAGTCCAGGGTGGCTTAAAGCCAAATAAAATAAGGCTGTTTTCTTTAAACGGCCACAAGGCTTTTTTCGCTGTTTTCCTCTAGTGACCAAAGGACAGAAAAACTGAATTTTTTTAAAAAGAAAGCCTTTTGTCACATTCCCCCGCCCCCCGGCGGGTGTTTTTGTGAGCCTTCTCTTTCTGGATATCCCAGAATTTAATTTTGGGCGGGTGGACTATTTTCCTCACCGACGAGGCTTCGTCCTTCTGCTAGTTTCTGAGGCAAAAATTATCAGGGGAACGAGGTTCAGCTGTACCCAAAATGGCTTCGTTCTTTCGTTTCCTTCCTTCCCCTTCTCCCCCCCTCCCACAAAAACCTTGGGGTTTTTTTATTTTTATTTTTTTTTTAAAAAAGCTTTTCACAGTTAGGTTATGAAGTGAGGGTTGTGTGGTGTGTGGAGAGGAAAGGGGAGTTAACACTTCATCTAAAACGTTTACATCGAGCACGCTCCTCTTCACCACAGAGTTTGCTGAGGTAAAAATCAACAGAGAGGATTCCTCCCGCCTCTTTTATCTTTTCACGGCCAGGGGAGCCGCCATCTGCTTAGGGAAGGTTTTTCTGCCTCTTCTGTCTTTCAAGTTTTCACTTGTGGCTGGATTTTTTTTTATTATTAAAAAAAAATAAAGTGTCTAATTAGAAGGCGCTCTTCTAATGTAACGAGAAACAATCTTGAAATAGCGTTTCCTGCCAACGAGGAATGGAACGTCGTTCCCTCGGAAGAAACGGAACGGCAGATGATTAACTTTCGGCTCTGTAGAGCTGCGCATGTGGACTACAATACCCATAACAAGAGGGGGAAGGTACTTCCCCGACTCCAACCTCCATAATTCCTCAGGGAATCATGGCGACCTTTTTTTCCTCTCTCCTGAGATAAAAATCAGGGGAAAGGAGAGCCATGAGCGCCACCTTGAGCTCAATGGAGGATAAACAGGACAGGCATTTACAGTAATCAAAAGATAAATAATTTGTAAATTATTTCCTCGCCTTCCTGCCTGCCTCCTAATTAGAGAAGCCCAAGGTGGCTTTGCAAAATGACTTAAAAGGAACAAAATGCGGCTACAATTTCCTTCAGAGAAATGGAACAGGGGCTGATGGAAGTTGGAGTCACTCAAGGAAGATGATGCAAAATCTGAAAACCCAACTAGAAATGCCTCAGGATAAAAGAATAATTAGTCATTTGCAGGTTTGCTTACGTTTTTGGCCCAGATGACCCAAATTCCTATGTTGCAGGGCTGGGAGGAAAGATAAGATCTAAGGTATCTCAGCCACCTTAATGATTTTTGTTTTTCCAGCCTCTCTAAAGGGAATTTTATTCCTCCCTGTCTCCCCTGTCAATCTTTGAAATCTTGCATTCCGTTTCTTTTATTTTTATAGGGTTGGTCAGAAAATTAAGGGACATCCCAAAACCCCAGATGCTTGGTTTTGTAGCCCCCCCCCCAAAAAATAGGAATGTTCCCATCTTCTGCTATAAATGCATAGGATGCCAACACCATCTGGGCTGATATTTGACCACGGATGAAATTCAAGACTCCCTGGATTGAGAAAAATGATGTTTGGGAAGAATCTGGTGGAAGCTGGAAAGATATAAAGAGACGCATGCAATGCACACCCACATCTTCTTTACTTACTCATTTTCCCCATGCAATGAACTGCAGTTGCACCTTCTGCTTTTATTAGCAAAAATCCCCCGGGGCTGCAGTTTTGTAAGCCAAACAGAGATGGGACCAAGTCATCTGTCTCTCTGGCCATTTCAAGCAGCAGCAGAAGCCCACGGGTGGCTAAGAATGGCCTGCCTGAGGTTTCATAGTGATGCTAGCCCCAAGGTGCATAGCAGTGAGAAAAATACACCGCTCCAACTCTCTGGCCTCCTGAAGCAGCCTGCGGTTTTTGCACCGCAACAAAGCAACCTGGGCGATTTTATCTCTCAAACACAGCAGGCGCTGCAACCACCATATGTATTTCACTTGATATGTATGCTGTGCTTTCCTACTAAAATAATGAGTGACATGAATTGCATTCAGATACAGAGACAACCACAACAAAGTAAAAGAACAAGTTTTTTGGGGAGGGTGTTTTGTTTTTTTAAATAGCAGTAACAATAACACCAGTGGTGGAGCTAACTCATCTCAAAAGCCAAGCTCATATTGTGAACATTTGCTTTTGACAAAAGTACTCAGGGCTGTAAAGTTTAGAACTGGCTCTTTGAAAACTAAGTGTGGTTTGGGTATCGTCTTCATAGGCTTTGTGAAAATCATTTATTTCAACCCACAGCTGACCTGACTGTTTGTAAACGCTGGGAATTTCCATGTGCGCAATCCTGTTGAATTCCAGCAGCCTGCCGTTTTTCCTGCTGCAAATATGTCTTCCCTCTTTCCAAATGCACAATGTTCTTTAGCAACTCTTGGCCTCTTAGCGAAAAAAGAGAGAAACTGCTGATGTGAAAAACGTTTTTTTATTCTTGACCTTAACCGTTCCAGGAATGCAGTCTCAGCATCTACTGTATAAATATATCTGTGAATTGACCCCTGTATCCAACATGGAAAACTGTAACACAGAAAGCCATCCTTAAAAAAAAAAAAAACAAACAAACCCAGGACTTTGCTTGCATGTGGAAACAGAACTGGTTTTCAAGAGAAAACCAGGTGCAAGTCACTCTTTACCAGTTTCATTTTCATTGCAGGCACTGGAGTGGAAATAGTGATAACAGAATGCAAGAAGAAACCGTTCCAGTGATTTCCAGAATAAGTGAGGATACAGAAAGAGAAACCCTTTCTGAGCTTCTGCAGGCCTCCTGCATTTCTGCCAACCTACAAGACACAGAGAAAGAAAACAGCAACAAAGATCTAAGTATGATAGTACTTTTTTTTAATGTCTCTTTAAAAACTACACTCCTTTGATTTGGAAGTTCTCCATTAATCCATTAAATAGATTGCGACAACTTTGTAGTGAGAGGAAATCATCAGGTGAACAGCCCAAAATCTGTCCCTTCTAGCAAGGAACTTAGAAACAACAATGATTTTTAATTTTAGGAGAACTCCATGAAGTAGATTATCTTCCTAGCCAACAGTCAAATGATAGAGTAGACCTTTGGTCTAGATGGGTGGGGTATAAATCTAATTTTAAAAAAATAATAAAATAAAATTATACAATGCAGTTAGCATGTCATTAGAAGATGCTTTCTTTCCATTTTGAAAGCTCTGTGCCTGAGCAATCGATCTTGCAAAGGAAGCTTAGGCTCACCTTCCCACAAGTCATAAATAAGCTAATTTGCATCATTTCCCCACTCTTCTCCCCCCCCCCAATCTGCCCCCTACAGGAGCAGAGGTCTTTTATATCTCAGGGAGCTCGGTTTCTAATTACAGTATGTCCTTACTTTACCATGTAAATTGATCCTAGGATGGGATTTTGACCATATCTACCAGGATCTGTGTTCCGTTTGCCTCAAGGGTTCTCCCAAGGCTAAACTTCCTGCATTTGCAGCTACACTGTGGGTTTGTGGGGGAGAGGGGGCTAAGCCCTACCTAAACAAATTCCTCCTTTCTTGACCAGTTATAGCCTCACCCTATGAGGTGACCTAGTCAAATGAGTGGGTAGGTCTCTGGAGCACAGCATACTGTATACGGTTGCAGATTTTGCAGTGGGGCTCTGATTGGAAAGCTGGTCAAGTTCCTGGAAAGAGAAAAGAAAATGAAATCAACAAGAAACTAGAAATCCCAGTTTACATATTTTGCAACATGAGAATCTTCTTTTAGAGAAGTTCCCTTCCCCGGTGGTACGTGCCCATCTGTATCAAGAATATTTGAAAGGCAATATTTTCCGCATTTCTCAGCAAGGCAGCTGCTGGAAGTCTTCCTCTTGGACTTGGAGAGGCTGCATTGTTTAAAAAGAACCCACTTTTAGTTTTTACAGAATTATAGAAACAGTAAATTCTTTAGGAATTTGAGCAAGGGGTGGGGACTGAAAAGTCAACAGGAACATAATTAATCACAATAAGTCAAGTCTTGATAAGAGACATCCATCTGCTAAGTGTGATGGGCTCAGCAGGACTTGGTTTGCAAGGCAATCTGTTATTATTCACTGGCTTTCAAAAATGGAGATGCCTCTTTTTTAATTTTAAAACCCCCACACCCCAATCAGAATGCATGTAGACATATATATTTTGAGAGAATAAGTTTTAAAGTGCCCTTAATCATTAAGTAGTTCCATGTGGATTTCTTTTTTAATGTAGATGAATGCAGAAAGAGGATGGAATGGTTTATCCTCAAACTCCAAATAAGAAATATATTTTTAAAAAATCTCCACGACATAAAATAGCAGGATTGCTCTCTGCAGATGGGGACAAAGGAGTCTTGTCTGAGCCACACAGCGGGGTCTGTACACCCAGCAGTCTGGACTGTAGCGTATCCAGGATGCACTTAGATGTGTCTGTTCAGTACTATATTCAGAAATATATTTCTTTATGCAAACACTGTTGTCAGGAAGAAACCAGATATCAGCACCTTGTAAACAAATGATTATCATCTGTCCACATTCATTCCTTGAGGCTACACTTAGAGGGTATTGTTTCACAAGCCTGCCACTGTCCCACCACAACTTCCAGTTTATTCTGTTTCTTTTTGTTTCTGTCACACAACTAGTCTTTTTCTTCTGTGGTAGTCCCAGAATCTAAGCTTGCGGTCTGATCCATTGGAGGAGAGTTGGTACCAGTCCAAACCTTCCTCTAAGCCCTTGAGGGGATTCCCAGCTTCCCAGGAGATGCTGAATCTCCCTTTCCCAGATGCCAGGCACTTTAGAGTCACATTACATGCATGCAGAGTTTGGGAGACTTGTTCCGGATGAATCTGGGGTTGTGGCACCGGATCTGTCAAAAATGTGTGAAAAATTCACGTCATGCAAAAGGAATTCACATATGTGCATTTGTGCATCCCAAGACTGGCAAAACAAATGGCACCTAGGCATCCTGTCCTGGAAATCTGGAGCTGACGATTTCTGGGGCTGACGATTCAGTATCGCAAAGCAGGGAAGGCAAAAAAACAAACAAACACCAAATGTATCTCCGAGGAACATGCATAGATTTTAAAAAGGCAATGCGAATTTGCTATAATCCATATAAAACTAGCATATAAAATGTGTATATTGTGAAAATAAAATAGACACAAGTTTCCCTGCAGGAAATGGTGGTTGGATACTGTACTGAGAAATGAAATTAAAGTATTTTTCACACCCCTGGCTCTTCTTCCACAGGTGTCAGACCAGTTGTAAGAAAAAAGGGCTCATCACATTTCCTTGCTTCGGCTTCACAGCAGAAAAATAAGTGTAAGTGCAATAATTACTTACCAAAAATATTTAGCTGGAATTTTTGGATGTAAAGTTTTCCAAGAGGAAACTTGACACGGAATGTGTATTCACCACCATCTTCTACCTCCAGGTCCTTGATCCTTAACATAGTCTTGTTGATTATTTCCAGTCGCTGCCGAAATCTGTCTTCTGGATTAGCCCTCTTTATTTCCCCATTTTTTAATTCAGCAAGTACCAGTAGAGGCCCAGTTTCTGCCTGGAAGTCCCAATCAATAGCTTCCACTATTCCCTCCAAGGAAGCATTTGTAACAAAGTTGACTGGTTTTCCCAGGACCCCGTTTACAACGTGGATGGATGTCTGTGCTGAGAAAGAGATGGGTGGGTGGGGATGGAAACAAACAAAATAAAACACAACAGGGCTGCTTTGACATGAGCAGCACCTCCCGAAAACCTTAGCTGAAAATACAGATGTTAAACCATGCTCGGTGTTACTGCAAATATAGATACACCAATGCATAATACAAAACAGCTAATTGTTTTTTACTTTGGATTGGTGTACATATATTTACTGTACAATAAAAGCAACTAACGATTAGTTAGGCAAGAGCTGAATATGAGCAAGTTTGCTTCCTAGGAGGTTCCCCAGCCACTAGTGAAAGGATATTTCAGCACTGACAAGATGCTGCATTTCATCTCCATCTTCCTTTCTTCACTTCAATAGCAAACAGCTAATTTGCTTTAGACACAAGAAGGAAATCAAGGACTATCCCACACACTACACCAGGACACAGACAGAGTTCTAACACCTGTCCTCTGAAGATGCCGGCCACAGAGACTGACAAAACATTAGGAAGAAAAACCTACTACTGTACACTTCCCATACAGCATATCCATTGTTCTTAAGACAGCCTCTTGTCCTCAAGACCTTGTTCTCTGCTAACTAAAGCATTCACTTCTCAGTGTTTTATCACCTGCTGTAAAAGATGAGCAGTTAGGAAACTACAGAATCTGACAGCTGTTCCTTGCAGTGATGAGAAAATTGTGTCTTCTCCTTGGGCGCTTTGCCTCCATCCTTTCTCTGGAGAAAAAAAACACTTTACATTCCTGTGAAAGCACGCATGTAGCAGACATGTTCATCTCACTTACCAGCAGGAGGATGCATTAATGTGGCAGCCAGAAGCAGGAGATTAAAGTCCAGAAACATGCTGAGTTAAAACATGGTGGATCCAAGTTCTTGCTTCTCTCGTTGTCGGCTGACAAGGGCCAGAGAGGAAACTGGGTGTGTTTATTGTAGCTATTCCTCTTTGTTCTCTTGTGACAGAAGGGGGCAGCACACTGACCCCCACAAAGAAACACATGGTATTTCTTAAGACATGGGATGCAGAATGCATGGGTTGCTCCGACAGTCCTAAGCAATCCCTGTCCCATGCCTTCTGATGCTCCACTATTTAAGGGATAACCCAGGTATAAACCTTTTCTCTTTAACAACCTCCACTTATATTTGTCTCTTTCACTGCCACCCACCTTCTGTTGTAAGGTGTCTATCTATCACTCATGCCATTTTGACATTCCCCATGTGACCAGCCCTCAAGGACTGAGCACAGCATCCCTTATCTTGAATGGGACAAAGAAGAGTTTATTAAAATAACACAGTTCAAAGAAGGCTGTTCATTCCTGGGCTTTGCATTTTGTTTTTCCCAGCACAGCCCATCCACCTCTCTTTTCATTTCTTCCCCCTCCCTCAGTCTCTCTCACAGACTCCAAAACCTCCCTCTCCCACACCAGACTGCTCCATAAACACACTCCAACCTCCCGCCCCAAACTTATCCCAGCCAATCACAAACATTCAAATCAAATTAGCAATACATTAAAATATGACCAGGCATCAGAGCCTCTATCCCAGATCCGGGAGAACAAGGCATGGACTTTGAGGATTTAATCACTGACTTTTCAACAGGAAAGGCAAGGAAGATTCCCTGCACAATGAAGAAAGATACTGGAAGCAACTTTCCAATTCTTCTTTTTGAAAGGAGCAACAACACTCCATGAAACAGTCTGTGCTGGAGAAGGAACACTCATCTCTTGGAGAAACCCGAGGTCTGCATATCCTGAGCAGGGGATAGACTTGGTGACTTTCAGGGACCCCTCTGATTCCTCTGTGATTCTCTTTTTGACAAACCATGCAAGTAGCATTCAAGTAGCCTGAACTATATTAAATAAACAGCACGTGTTGGGAGAGATTGCCATCAAAACACACCAAACCTTATGGGCAGAACACAAATTTCATTATCTCTTTATTAATGGACAACCTCCATTTTTGAAGGAAGGATAGAAACCGTAAACACACCACTCTGGGCCCTACAGGAAGGCCCCCAAAACCTGACAAAACCCAGGTTTAGAGAACAGGGGTCACCAATTCATGCAACGGGTTAATGCACGCTTGGCTTCTGTAATGACGTAGCACCAGCTGTATACCTAGCGAAAGGGTTTTCATATCACACCGTGTCCTCTCCGAGGAAGGTGAACAATACAGTTATCTATAGTTAGATATAGTTAAGTGAAGAACAGATTTAAGGAACTAGATTTGATGGGCAGGGTGCCTGAAGAACTATGGATGGAGGCTCGTAACATTGTACAGGAGGTAGCAACAAAAACCATCCCAAAGAAAAGGAAATGTAAGAAAGCAAAGTGGCTGTCCATCTCACAGAAGCAGAAGACATCAAGAAGAGGTGGCAAGAATACACAGAGGAATTATACCAGAAAGATCTGGATGTCCCAGACAACACAGATTAGGGTGGTTTCTGACCTTGAGCCAGACATCCTGGAGAGGGAAGTTAAGTGGGCCTTAGAAAGCATGACTAACAATGCCAGTGGAGATGACGACATTCCAGTTGAACTATTTAAAATCTTAAAAGGTGAGGCTGTTAAGGTGCTACACTCAATATGCCAGCAAGTTTGGAAAACTCAGCGGTGGCCAGCAGATTGGAAAAGATCAGTCTACATCCCAGTCCCAAAGAAGGGCAGTGCCAAAGAATGCTGCAACTACCATACAATTGCACTCATTTCACACTCTAGCAAGGTTATGCTCAAAATCCTACAAGGTAGGCTTCAGTAGTATGTGGACTGAGAACTCCCAGAAGTACAAGCTAGATTTCGAAGGGGCAGAGGAACTAGAGACCAAATTGCTAACATGCGCTGGATTATGGAGAAAGCCAGAGAGTTCCAGAAAAACATCCTACAAGGTAGGCTTCATTGACTATGCAAAAGCCTTTGACTGTGTGGACCACAGCAAACTATGGCAAGTCCTTAAAGAAATGGGAGTGCCTGAACACCTTATCCATCTCCTGAGAAATCTATATATGGGACAGGAAGCAACAGTTAGAACTGGATATGGAACAACTGATTGGTTCAAAATTGGGAAAGGAATACAACAAGGCTGTATATTGTCCCCAGCTTATTCAACTTATATGCAGAATACATCATACGAAAGGCCGGACTGGAGGAATCCCAAGCCGGAATGAAAATTGCCGGAAGAAATATCAACAACCTCCGATATGCAGATGATACCACTCTGATGGCAGAAAGTGAGGAGGACTTAAAGAACCTCTTAATGAGGGTGAAAGAGGAGAATGCAAAAATGGTCTGAAGCTCATTAAAAACCCCCCTAAGATCATGGCCACTGGTCCCATCACCTCCTGGCAAATAGAAGGGGAAGATATGGAGGCCATGGCAGATTTTACTTTCTTGGGCTCCATAATCACTGCAGATGGTGACAGCAGCCATGAAATTAAAAGACGTCTGCTTCTTGGAAGGAAAGCGATGACAAACCTCAACAGCATCTTAAAAAGCAGAGACATCACCTTGCCAACAGAGATCTGCCTAGTGAAAGCTATTTTTCCAGGAGTGTTGTATGGAAGTGAGAGCTGGACCATAAAGAAGGCTGACCACTGAAGAATTGATGCTTTTGAATTGTGTTGCTCAAGGAGACTCTTGAGAGTCCCCTAGACTACAAGGAGAACAAACCTATTCGTTCTGAAGGAAATCAACCCTGAGTACTCACTGGAAGGACAGATCCTGAAGCTGAGGCTCCAATGCTTTGGCTATCTCATGAGAAGAGAAGACTCCCTGGAAAATACCTTGATGTTGGGAAAGCTTGAAGGCAGGAGGCAAAGGGGATGACAGAGGACGAGATGGATGGACAGTGTCATCGAAGCGACCAACATGACTTTGACCAAACTTTGGGAGGCAGTGGAAGACAGGAGGGCCTGGCATGCTCTGGTCCACGGGGTCACGAAGAGTCAGACACAACTTAACGACTAAACAACAATAGTTAAATATTTCTGCTTTGACAACTGCAGGAATGGACCTAAATCAATCTCCAGAGTGAACAAAAATCTGACTTAAAAAGTCCTATGTGGCTAGGGGAGACAGTGCTACATTTTGCACAGCTTTTAGCTGTTTCCCCTTTTCTACAAGGAGGAGAGGGGTGAAAATATATATCTTTGAGTAAGAAAAAAGCACTCAGGGTCACATTTTAGAGACTGCATGTTTTGAGTTACCAAGTGGTTGAAAAAAAATATTCAAGTGAGATAAGAGAGGAAGAAAGTTGCAAAGAACAGCCTTGAACCTTTCATGTTTGGCCGATTTCTCTACATGTGGAGAACATGTTTAGTTTTTATTCTTCTCATCCCAAGCAAAGAAGTTGAAAATCCCATTTTACTCGAGCCACACAATTCATGAATCACAATACGCAATGTTATACGTCATCTACTGCATCTTCGTCTTACGGCTACATTCTTATTTTAGTTTAAGCGAAAATGTGTAGAATTCCATTTTTGTATTTACTTTAATGACAAACGCAAAGTCAGAAGTGACATCCCCAGCATCTAAAGCCCAGGGATGACAAGGAAAAGATCCAGTTCAAGTCAACAAAGGGATAAACCCAATGCCTGAGCTGCACAACCGAAACTATTTCAGCACCAAAGCTCCATCTGGTGAGCATCTCGGGTAACAGGCCTCGAAAGACTTGCCAAGAAATCAGCGGAAAAGAAATCTGAAGGTGTGTTTCCAAAGAGAACTGAGCCCTCTTCCTAGCCCTTTGGCAGAGAGGAATGGCTGCTGCTCCAGGCTGCTCCTTCTGTCATTCAAAATAGGTCACCCTCTTCTAAATTTTAAAGGAGGTAAGGAGGGAGCAGCCTGACAGTCTCTGAGAGTCAAACACAAACATATACACACACCCAGCGGGCCATCTGTGGATGGATTTAAAAACCTCAGTCTTCCCACTGCCTTGAGGCTGATGGTGGAATCCTGCTGCATGTCTTTTATGGCCCAGACCTCTAATCTGGAGAATTGTTTGCTTTGTCTCAAGCACCACAAAACCCAAGTGTTGTTCTGCTCCTGGGATTCAAGTCTACCCGGCTGGGGCATCAGGCAGGAGGGCAACTAGCAGAAAACAAGGGAGAAAATATGCTCCAAAACTCCTCTCTCTTCGTTCCTATGCTGAAGAAAGGTGACTTAGGTACATCCCCGATGAATTTGCGTTTTGGAGAGTTTGGCACATCGTTTGCTTGAGGCCCTGGTGCAAAAGGTGATGGGGATGACAGTGATGGCAATCGTGGGCAGACTCTCCCTCCAGTGCTGGTTCCTGTTAGAATACAGGATGATGGTCAATAACAGGTGTCTGTCAGTCAGTCAGTGGCCACACTGAAGTCCCCCTGAAGTTGCAGCCGTCTTACCAGGCTTATGTGACCTCTTTGGTTGGTGTCTCTGGGGTCCTCCGGATCTGGTCATAAATGGTAGTGATGTGCTGTTCTTTCTGGGGACTTTTCTCTGCGTTACTTTCCTGGAGACCTGGGGACTGAACACAGATAAGCAAGCAGAAAAAGGAGGGGGCTCATCGTAGAAGACTCCAGTTGCCTGGGACGAGAAGAGGCCGGCTCCCATCTCTCCACCCCATCTGGCCAGCTACAGCAACACCTCTGTCTTGGGATTGGAAAAGCCCTCTTGGTGGGGAATAAACAAGTCATGCGGGGTTCCCTATGCATATTTTGCCGGTTTAAAAATGGGCTTCAAAAAAGGAATGAAGAGCCATCAGAGGCTGGAAGAAGGTAATCCAAACAACAGCCAAAGAGAAATTTCCCAGGCCCAAACTGTGAGAAGGCAAAGCCAGGGAAGAGCAAGCCCTCTGTCACACCTAGTCTTTCTTCCAGCCTTCTCAGAAACATCTCTTTGGGCCTTTTTGGGAACCCTGAAACTAGCGCCCTCAGCACACACACACACACACACGCACCCGTCTTTTGACCCAGCAGGGGACTTCCTTACTTGAGGAAAAGGGGTTTTAGCTCTTGAGTGGAAGCATCCCCTCCAGGCTGGCTGTGCCTCCCACCAGGCAGAGCCAAAGCCCACGTGGAGGCTTCTGGACGGCCTCACCCTATCCTTACCTTCAGGGGGGCTCCTGCGGAGAATCTCTGCATATTGGGAGTCAGACGGACTTTCTTCCACTTGGACAGTTGGAATGGTTGCTTGAGAAGAGAAAGAAAAGAGAGGCTCTGAAACAGTCAGACTCCATAGTTCTGCTCACACAAAAGTTGTCGCTGGGCAGACTCAAAGGGGGAAATTTCCCACTAATGGCCTGACATGCTGGAATTAAGCTGAGGAAGCCTTTCCAAGACCACTGGGAGAAGATGGTCTGGGGAAAACCTCAGCATGGGAAAGGATTCTCCTCAAAGACATTGCTATCAGAAGAGAACATGACAAAATGAAGGCCACCTGGAGCAACTAAAATGCTCCAGAAAAAACAAAGCATTTTGCTCACCTGTCTCGGCCGACTTCTCGTTGTTGATCCGCCAGCACCAAAATGCAGCACCCAGACTTAGCACTAAGAGGATGAAGGTCAGGACGACGTAGCCGGACTTGGAAAAGGAAGATTCGGCTTTTGGGATTGGAAAAAGAGGGTGCAAAGTCAGAGACAGCTCGTAATGGAGGCAATGTGTCCACAAGATATGCGTCCTATTCAAGCATAAGCTGTTTCTAGACATATCCCCAAGTTGGAGTAGATACAAAAGGCAGGCCTCACTCACTGAAAGTTGAAGCCCATCATGCCCCATCTCTTTGTATTTGGTTGACTTTGAATCACAGTACACAAGATGTTTTGCATGTATTTAGAAGTGGTGCTCCATCAAATGGTGAAAAACATTTGTTTATCCTATCATGTGCTTTTCCTCACCTTCGTATCTTGTGTTTTAGCATGCTTTGGTTTTTGATTACTTGTTAAATATGGGTTTAATCTGCTGGCCTGATGATTGAGGCACGTGTCTTTGAAGAAATCCAGATTCTTCCCAAATGGGCTGCCTCAGAATACAGCATTCCTCATAAAGCTAACTATATATATATTTAAAAAAAAATAAGAACAGTTGATCTTTTTTTCCCCACCTCCACTCTGACAGATCCTCTGTAGATCAAAGGAGACGATTTTGTGTTCGATGGGGTTGCTGGCAGTGCAGGAATACGTGGTATTCAAGGAAGATGGAAGGAGAGAGAGTCGGAGGGTCCTGCCATCAGGGGAGATCTGATATCTGTCGGTGTTCCCAAGATCCCGGATGGGGTTCCCCTTTTTCCAAGTGACGTTGACCGGCCCCTTCCCTGGAGACACACACTGCAAGGTGACGTTGCACCACTTTGGCGTGCTGGAGACCAGCTGACTCTGGATCCGAGGAGTCAAGACAGGCTCTAGGAGTCCAAATAAATATATAAAGGTACTTATATCTTGCCCTTACCCCCCTACCCAGCTTAAGGCTGTTCTTCCTTCACTCCATTTTCTCATAATATTGACCCTGTGAGACAGTTTAAGAGGAGAGAAAGAATGTTACCCTGTTTTCCCGAAAATAAGACCCAACCTGAAAATAAGCTCTAGTAGGATTTTTCAGGATACTCATAAAATAAGCCCTACCCCAGAAATAAGCCCCAGTTAAGTGAAACCCCCGTCCTCCACCATGGTGCACCAACCAGAACAAGATGACATGACTGTATTTGAATAAACGTAGATGGTTGTACAGTACATAAAAAAATCCCCTTGAAATAAGCCCTAATGCATTTTTGGAGCAAAAATTAATATGACCCTGTCTTATTTTTGGGGAAACATGGCACTTTAGGAAATGTGATTTCATTATGTCCTGGTATAAAGGAAAGGAGCTGATTAATAGGTAACTACGTTATTTGGAACTTCAAAGCCAACATTGAGAGTTGATGCCTAGCAGGGGCCCTCCCTCCTAATGCACCTTGATTCCTGGTCCAACGAGAAGGACAGCTAGAGCAGCCAATCAGGGCTGGGCTGTGGTGTGCAAAGGGCACAGCAAGTGGCCTGCGCCCTGACCCAAGAGAGAGAGCTCTGGGTCTAATCCAGTGTTGGAGGATCTATCTGTAGAGCTGTCCGTGGTCCTGAAATCCTGGCTTGACCCAAACCACCCTTTGCGACCCTGTTTGTCATCCACCCCAGAGTCCCTTGTGTGGAACCAGGACCAAGAGAGTGTGTCCCAAATGGAAACTGGCTTTTCTGCAAACCTTGGAAAGTTTCTTTTTGAAAAGCAATTTGTTCCTGTTACTCACTATAATGTTAAAGAAGCAACCAATTCATCTAATAGCTGCAATGTCTTACAAAGTAACTTGCTGCATAGCTAGTTACTTTTTTGGTTGCTTCTGCTACTTTTATTTGTACATAAAAAGACTTTCTGGCTAGACTTTCTGCAGCTAGGAGACATTCAGGAAATTTTAAAGGGGGAAAAAAAATTACTCTCTAGAATTCTTCGTCTTGAAATTTCCATGCCAAAGGAGAGATTGTTGTGAGCCTTAATTGAGGAAGAACTCTGTGTTGCTCAGAGACCTACCGTAGACGGCGAGGTTGAAGGTGTGGTCCTCCACAATGGCCGGAAGCAACTTGACCCGGGCCCCAAAGGTGCCGCTGTCATTCAGCTCCAAGGCCTTTATCCTCAGGGTCTCATTGAACATGTCTATCCTCTGCTTAAACCTGTCGCTGGGATCCGGCCGTTCTAATTTCCCGTCTCGAAACAAAGCCACCAGGAGGGCTGGCCCAGACCCAGCCCTGTAGCTCCATTCGATCTCTTTCACTTTGGCCTGTGGCCCAACGTTGACGGAGAGGACAGCCGAGCCTCCCAGGACCCCGTTCACCTGACGCGGAGGGCTCTGGGCCTGGCCAGCAAGGAGGTCTGCAGAGGAAACACAGGGCAGGACTTGATCCACAAGGGCGCGTCAGGAAAGGCAACAAAGGCCCACAGTGCCGTAGCTGATCCTCCACCCACCCAACCCCCACAAACAGAGCAGAGTTATTGAACTAGGGGGACTTCTCGCTCAGCAATGGGTCTTAAGCTTTCCACCCTGTCGGGGACTACCCAGTGAGTTAGGCCACAGACAACGAAATGGGAGCTCGCCAGCATGACTGGATTGGACTTAAGCCTTCTAAGCAACGTGCAGGAAGAATGATCTGCTAAAAATCAGATAAAACAGAGGTGGCTGATTATGGTCTGGCAACCAGACAGTGTCATCACCTCTGTCTCTGAAATGGCCCCTATTTGTCCATTTTTCCTGGCCTGCTTCACAATTCACCAGGACCTTTTTAAGAATTCAGAACTGTAGCAATACAGAGACATCACTGGAGGGAAGATCTGAGGGAAGGCCTTTGCTTAAGAAACCGTGTCATGACGGAGCTGAGGAACTGGTCAAACTGGCCAGTTTAGTCAAATATAAAGGAAATAACATCGGGGCTAAATCCTTGCTTCAAAAGGGGGGGGGGTTCTCCACCCCATCAATGAGTTTTGATTTATCTGTTAAGAGGTACAGTTTTTTTTTGTCTCCACCCATGATTAGAGGGTCGCCTTGTTTGCTAGCTTGGTGATTCAGGCCCATGAATTCTGACAGTTTGTTCTTTGCCCTGTTTTGTATTTGTTTTGTGATTGGCTGCACACCTTTCTCACTTTATTGGTCTCTAGCTCTGAAACCCACCCCAGACGCCCAGTAAGTACAACATGCCTGAAGTCCAAAAAGTAGGTCTTCCAGGTTCTTTAAAAAAAAAAATCTGAACACTTCCTGGAAAGAACATGAGTTTCTGGGGCAAGTGACCCTTAATTGGTTGTTAATTGATCTGGCTTCTAAATGATCAGCACGTAAGATGTGTATGTATATTGCAGAAATATTTAATAGAAGGTAGCTCTGAGTAGATCAAAGTTACCAAGCCCAGGAGAAAAAAAGGGCCATCTTTCATAAAGTCGTCTCCACTCTCTGTTCCACCATCCATGTGGACTTTTTAAGGTGTCCCCCTTCAAAGGATACCCAGAGTTCTCAGCTATGTTGATGAGAATTTGGTATAAAGAGACTAGGAGGGAGCCAGCTAAAGATCAGGATCCTGCCCCCCTCCCCCACATGCCCAGTTTTGTGATGCAGAGCTTGGGGAACCCATTCTGATGTCTTTCGCTTTTTGCATCTCATCCAGGATTTTGCTCTGGTTTTAGCACATTCGGCCTCCTAAGTTGAGTCAGCGCCGTGGGGAGAAAGTGCAGCTGAGAGAGGCAGTGAATTCGTACTAAAGATGGGATTTCAAACTAAGCCCCCTGTGAAGGACTCATAACCACCACATCTGTAGTCAAGTGGGAATGAGGCAGCCATCATAAAACACATACAAACATTCCTGCGTGCAGTCTGCAGAAGACATTTTTATCGGTTGCAGTATTAAATCAAGCACAAATTGGGTGGGTCTGAGTGTTTTGAATATCTGTATCTTATTTTTATTGCACCCAATGCCAGCCACATGCCAGCAACCCTCCCCTCCTCTTTTAAGTATTAAGTTATAAAACCCATCCACCATCTGGCAAGACTGCCGAACATGTGTTTCTAGCAGATTTCTGTACCCTGTGGCATTAACGTTTGGGCACAGTTGGATGCATATTTATGGCCCGCTAGAGAACAAGATTCTTAACCCAGCCTGCCATGTTCCAGGGATAAGCCACACACACGACAGGAATGGTGGATATGAAGAGGAGCCCATGGCAGGCCACTGGGCAGCAAAGTGTAAGGAATCCAGAAAAGTTCGTAGATAGGCAGGAAACGGGACTGAGTGAGCCCTAGCAGATATTGAAATAGCGTCCCTTTGTTCATGATGATATTAGACTTTAATTCTGCTGGTTCATCCAGTTTTGCAGTACTTTTTGAACAGAGCCACATCATCAACAAACAGCTTAACCTTCTTCTTGTCCCATGTTTTCCACTTCAAAACAATTTGTGGTTTTATCGCAACTGTTGCCTGGGTTGCCTTTTATTTTTGTAACTCTTTCTGTTCTTATCCCCAGAAGGTACCCCCAAGAGCTTTGGTGAGCGGGAAGCCTATTCAACTTATAAATACAGAAGAAGTAAAATGAATTCACCTGCACACCAACTAAGGTCTGGCATGCCACCGTCGGGGAGCAGAGCCCTTCGCGGGTCTGTTTGGCCAAAGAGGCCAACTACACAAGAGAGAGAACGGACAGAGATTCAGAGCAAGCAATCAAAGAGATGAACAAAAGGGATCCACAGGCGCTCAGCAGGCACACCTAAGTCATTCCTCGACCCTCGGAAATGGGTAAGGCTGGAAGGTTGGTTGGCCTTGTGTCTCATCAGAGTTTGAGGAGGTCATTTTTCTTGGTGGCAACTGCTAATGACCAGCATGGACCGTCATAAAATAGCAGCTCTCCTGAGCTCCCTGTCTCTCCTTTTCGGAGGTCATACACACAGAGACATACAAACAAACAGACAGACAGACAGACAGACACACTTACTTTTGCTCACATTAGAAGGAGACCATTGGTGAGGAAGAGGGGTAAAACCAAAGAAAAACAAATACAGTTAGAACACGAAACACAGATGGAAAACGAGAAACCCTGAGCAGCAACCCCTCTTTTACATGACCAAGCCCTGTCTGAGTGAAAATGTATTTAATGCAGGGAGAAAACATGGAGCAGAGGCTGTGAATGAGGCATCCTGGACAAGCAAGCCTTCCTGTTGCAAACGGCAGAACTCTGGAAAGTCTTGAGAGAGACCGAGCGGGTGAGCCTCATGGTCAGAAGAGTTAAAATTGGACACAGATTCCTGTATATTTGGTTCGTTGTTAGCTGTAGAAGGAATTTCCCTGGCTCTATTTCTAGACTGATCTCTTCTAGATATGTGGGACTACTGCTCCCATCGTCACAGGCAGCTTGGGAATGATGGGCACTGTAGTCAGACAGGAGAGAGAGGGGGGAGGGGTGTTGTTGGCCACTCGGCCTCAGGCAGCAAAGTGCCTGGGGTCAGCCCTCTTTGGCAATGCCACTGGTCGTGCGCGTTGTGTTTCAGAGTCCCCTAGGCACCTGCCTCGCTCTCCTGCCCCCCCTTCCCACCAATGT